CCTCTTCGAACATGAGAACGATGTCGTCTGCATATTCCAGATCGACAAGGTTTTCCTCACAGGCTATTTGAACACCAGGGTTTTGAAGACCCTCCAGCGTTCGTCTCATTATTTCATCGATCACAAAGTTAAAAAGGAATGGAGAGAGTGGGCATCCCTGATGGACACCGCTTTGTGTACGGAAACATTTAGAGAGCTCTCCGTACACTCTCACACGTCCGGAAGTCTGAGAATACAAAGAACGTATTATGTTTACAAACTTCCGGGGCATTCCTTGGTGGGCAAGTGTCTCAAGAAGAACATACCGGTCAACCGAGTCGAATGCGCCTCGGAAATCCAGGAATACTAGAATCGTGGGTCGCTTATACGTATGGCGTTGTTCTAGCACCTGACGCAGTGTGAAGATTTGGTCGACACAACCCCTACCAAGCCGGAATCCCGCTTGCTGCTCTCGAGTCAGTATCTCACGAGCCACCGTAAGGCGACGAAGCATATCTCCCATCACAAACGACTATATTCAAGACATCTGCATTATTCTATCAACGTACTTCCTTTCAAATAGCTTGCTTTCTACTGATGTGTTCCTGAAACAACCAGTAAACTTTGTCGAGTGGGCAACTGCCGCCTCCCTGGATTGGGACCATGAGACTCAAATCGCCAGTGATTGATGACATTGATAGACATGGCCCAATCGCGCAGTCAGTGGGGTTGTGCATCGCTTTCAATGGGTGGCTACCCTATTTCCGAACAAATTCAACATGCCTTCGCCTCTATGGCTTGGTTGTATGTTCCACTTTCCCGTTTTCCGGTGATCGATACCGTAGCGACTAGAACCAATGTGCCTGTGGCACACGGCTTTTAGCTGATAAATTGAATTGAAATTGAAAACATTCGGTAGGATGTACTTTGGAAACCTGGTTTTTGTTTTAATCCTATCAAAATTCTCGAAGGTGCTCACATGAAAATGAACATTTTCAATTTTTCGGAACTACATAAAGATTATGGAAATGTATCATATCCAAAGGTGGAAGTCTGTTGCAATCAACCTTCAGCGTCCAGTAAAACATTCGTTTATATTTTCGGTTGAGGAAAAAAGGCTGGTATAGGAACTCACTCGTACGGAGCCATTCTGGGAAACTGGGAGTGAGCTCAATATTTCAACGTTCTCAGGTATTGCTGACTGAAGGGCAATAAAATGGTAGATTGTAGAGTACATGACGGTTTTTCCAAGAAACCGATAAATTTATACACACTAAAGTTTGCCTACTAATATTCCGCTAGAGTAAGTCGTGTAAGTGTGACCTTTCCCTCATTGTTTTTCAGACTGATACATACATGTTACAACATACAACGTGATGATCAACTGCAAATGCCGTTACGCAGTACTTGGGCCACCTTTTAAACCTTATTTACGAACACAATCTTTATGATTAGTGTTGTGGACTACAGTCCCTTAATGCCTTCTTATTATCGTGAACCCCTGCCTGGATAGCCGCTTGATCGCCTGGTGCACTTGGCCAAACCAGAAAAAGTCAAGGAACGTACGAGCCCGCTGCTCTATTGATCACCGTCACATACAAGCGGTCAAAATTGATACTAAAAATACATCTCATCTGTCAAGGGCGAGAGAAGAACAACCATGAAATCTGTCTCAACGAAAAACGGTTATTCCATTGGCAGTTATGTAGTCCCGTTAAGTTCGGAACTGGTTCTACTAATACTTAGTCAGATCATGCTTCCAACCTCATGACTTATACAATCAAATCCTTGCCGGTCTGTAGAGTTTTCGACTTGCCATGATGAGCATTTTGGGCTGGTGACTAACATTCCAACTGAGAGTGCCCATTTTCTTACATATGGACTGCGACATTTGGGAATTAACTATGAGTTTAGGAAGACTGTCACATCCGGAGGGTGAAGTTATTTGACTTATGAGAGTCATGGTGATTTCTGGATTCCTGACATTTTCCAATGAAGCGCTTTTTGTTAAACGAGAGAATTTCTTGTTTCGGATAGCTCTCCCCAAAACAGAAGGTCATGTTTATAATTTTTGAAGTTTTCCAGTGATCTTATAACTTTTTTTCAATTTGATCACGNGTCAATTATCAGCAGGAAAATCAGATATCGTCGAATTCTGGCTTTTCAATTTCAACTCACCTGAGCTGTGACAGGCTGTACACCTGATCTTAGAGAATTGATACCGTTCTTCAAACTGTTCAAAAGCTCATTTGATCCACGTGCCAGTCTGTCGAGTGTTTCACGTTCATTAGTTTGCTTAACGGATGCTTCAAGCTTTCGAAGAGAAAAATACAGAGAAACGAGTTTGTGTACGTTTGTAAGATAATACATTCAATACTATTTTGACAGCTCATTCAGATGGCATTTTGACAATTTGATTCAAGAATGCGGTTATTCAGTTCACTTATCCGAGAGTAAAGTGAGACAAATTCGACACGTTTCTAGTGGTGTTCTGTAGGAAGGGAAGCACTAAAGACGGTTCAAATGCTCGTAAAAGTGTAATTCTTCATAAATGACGTCACATTCGCCTCAAATGCGGTGTGAAACTATCATCATCATCACCATCATGACTTTCGTTTTAAAAACGACCACAAAACTGTTCGGCCGCCGCCAACCATGCAGGTGAACTAATTTGACCGCGGAGCTAACAATGACTGTACCCAAGTTGACGCGGTGCTTCACCAGGACCAACAAATTGACATAATACATAACCCGAAAAATACTCCCTCCCAATGGAATGCCAAAAACACGGTTGCGTTTCTTTAGTTCAATTTTACAAATCGACAGGTAATACAAAGCTATTTCATGGCCTTTCAGATCACCCGAATTATTCCAATCGCACATACAGTTTTAACAGAAGAGGAGGAACAACTTATCTCTTGATGACTGTAATTTTGTTTACGCTCCCCTCTTTCCCCAAACTGGTTCAGCTAAGGTGGGGAACCTCTGACTTACATGGTTCCAGTAGGTTGTCAGTATGAGGTAGTCCAACAGATGGGCACATCGAAGGAAGGCCTCGGGGATTGAGAAGGGTAGTATAAACAGCAAACAGTTCACTGAAATTCGCCAAGTTTTTTGCTCTTCAATACTTCTTTGAAGTCTGTGATTGGAGTCGTATGACTAGTTACGATGGGCTTAATAGAGCAACCTCCGCTGTGCGAGAGGAATTGCCAAAAGTGTCCTGCTCCTGGTCTTGTTGCACAAGAAGTAAATCAGACTTGGGCTTCTTCTACCAGTACGTTTACGAGTTTATGCTTACAATCCTTGGATCAGCTGAAAAAGAAGCTTTAAGTGTATTTAGGTAGCAAGCAGTAGCGCAAAAGAATTACGAAGACGGGGTTCGCTGTAGAATATTCAGGAACAATTTTCAGGTCAGAAGTTTTAATAGATGCCATACAGGGATGGTAAACATTAACTAAAAGGCTGTGAAGAACACTATGTGTGAGCCTTCGACCATATCAAAGGGCTTAATTTACCCGGTATCCTACTGTAACGCTTGTGCATGTGACAAATCCCATTACGGTCTCCCGAGTGATCGATATCCTCGAGAACTGGTGTGAAAAAAGGGTCAACAACCTAGATGCCTTCCTTCTAATTGAGAGGTCATTTTCGGTAAATCATAGTTTTAAGATCAGTCCATACAAATTGGCACACTCAAGCTGTTGTTAGACCGTAACCTTGTCGAAGTTTATGAACAAGTTCTCGGCTGATATCTAATTACCAAATTGTACGCATTTTTCCAGTGGTCTTTTCAGGACCAGTATTTCATAGAAATTCCAGCGGAAGGTCAAATCCATGGGCTTACCTATGGGTATGGAAATGTTCAAAATATGTGTGGTTTTATCCTATTTGACTTTGTAAATAGATGAGTTCACGTGCATCCTCCAGAACTTCTTATGAAAAACTCTTGATAATGTATTGGGATATTGGTAGCTGGGGCAGGTCCATTGGTAGTTGATCAGATAGCTATTGACTTATTTGCCGAGCTTAGCCATTGAATTGCGGACGTTTCGTAGCCATTCGATGGACATCATCAGTGCGCTGATGATCACTTTCTGCCTTGTTTGGGACTCAACCACCCCTACCCAAGCTGCTTTCTCCGTTAGATTGGCTATGTGGAATTTATTCTAATGTACTTGGTAACGGGTTGTTGTGATACAAATGAAACCGAATCTTGCTTATTCTTTACACAACCAACCAGTAGTCACAACGAAGTAGGTACACATTGACGGTGGTGTTGAAAATATTTTAATCAAGTCAGTTTTGACCTCAATCAAAGGCTTTGGTCAGAGCATAAAATATATCCTGGTTGAGCTTGAATTACTCGGAATGTTTTTCAACGTTTTACGAACTTGTTTTTAACACGAGGTTAGAGTGTACATTAAGACATATTCAGACAGACAGAAAGTGTGTCCGACTATTGACAGGACAATAACTAAGGGACCAATGGGTTATTTGAATTTGGAGAAATTTAATCGCTCTTTAAGTTTCGTTCTTATTTCGCATCGAGAATGAAAGCTCAGTTGAGAAGAGATGGTATTCACTATCCGGAAATACAATAGGTCTTAAGAAACAGCTTGTAGAATGCATTATTTTAAGGGCTGATTATTTGTAAGCACATTTGCTCATTTGCACATTTTCACACTAGTTAGTATGAAACTGATTATGCTTGAAATATCAAGTTCAAACTTGCAGAAGTTGTTCAACTTCCATCGTGACCAAAGGCAGTCTAAAATTCGAAGCCATGTTCTGCCACTCTGTCAACAATAAACGAAAACAGCCTGTGTGTTTTGAACTAACTTACTGGCACGAAGGAAGCTGCAGACGATCGTTTTCCCTCCTGCTGAGTCATTTCCATTTGTCTTTGCGAGTGCAAACTTCCTCGATCAGTGTGGCTCACTCTTCCTCCTTCTCTTTCTAAACTGACTTCTTGATGACGTGCACCGTCTTTTGGTTTGTCAACCGAACGCCGACTCTTAGTGCTTCTTCTCTGGAACACATAGTTCAATATGGTTTAGCTTAAAGAGAACCCAAGATTTTGGCACACTGTCTGAAGTGAAGGGTTTAGGGAATACAACATAGTTCAGAGTAGGGATATCGGCAGTTCGGCTACCATAACGCTCTATTATAGCGCCTTGTTGTGAGGCTTGTGGATTTCACGGTTCGTAAAACATGAAAACAAAATAGTGGCAAAATACGTCACCTACTTCGTGTCAACTGTTAGCAGGAATCAACACGAATCCCGCTATACCGCACGTCTTTAGGCGCTGCTACGGCCGATAAACCTGGCTCGCTCGAGGTTCGCCCAGAATTCGGGACGCTTGCCGGTCCGGGATCAAGACGAGGTCTTATTGGTCAACAATCTGGACCCAACATCCAAACATGACCCAGTATTCGCCAAATGCCGGCTGCCAATGGCGCATCCAGAACGCGTCAGAAATTCCAGAAAGTTATAACCGCTTACGCTATATATACGAAGCGCTGTACACTGTTCTTGACTTCGTTTTGGGCATTAATAGACCTTGTGCACCTTTGGTGATTGTTTTGACGTGAACGCTAGATTGGGAGGCTCAGACCGAGAACTAAGCTGAGGAAAATACCGTTACTACCTCAACCCTGAAGGTGTTCGACGCGGCTACCGCGTTAATAAGTTCTGCAGCATACTGATGCATCTTTTAAATACCTTCGAAATGTGTAGACAAACTCAATTGGAATGCCGGAGCGTGGTCGCGACAATCTGAGGAATAACATGGTTTCAGATAAAGGCTTATGCGAATAATCATGTACCAGAATTCACAGTCGTCAAGTGCTTAATAATAAAATAAAACTGTTGGGAAAATGAACAGTCCGGGATATTGAATGTTAGGTTTGAAAAAAAGCCTCAGACTTGAAACATTAATGAACCAAAGTTTATAAATAGTATTATGGTCTTTTCTACAATAGGTTGCCTGGAACCGTTTTATAGTCATAGGCAGATTGCAGGAACTCGTTTTTTTAGTTCGCCTTAAAGAGTAAAGTTTTTGTTCCCAATCACTGTCAGCTCCGGGCTAATACATACACTTTTACGTTTGCACAAGAAGTATACTGATCGCGTCGCAGACATCTTAGCTTATTTTCCGAGAATCATCGCAGCTATTTAAAAGACACCAGTAGAAGTTGCGGCATCACCAGAAGGTGCAATTTACAATTTTAGGCAGAATTAATGGTAAGAGAGAAGGCACTAACTCAGAAGCAGATTTAGACTGCACTCAATGCACAGGCACGTCCTAAAATACGTGCATATAAAGTCACCTCCTCGGTTTCATGTATCACTGACTTGAATGACGAGAGTCGAGGCACTCATGCACACCAGTGAAGGAGGAGTCACCAGCCTACGACCATTTTCCTGGATACTGTGACTTCAAGAGACCTACTCGACAGGAGGAACGTCATGAGACTGTAAAAATGCACAAATACCCGTAACAGAGCATGTCAAATGAAGCTGACCGTGAACAACCACAATCAGCTGCGATACGTCTGATGACACAAAGTTATGTTGTCCCCTCAGCCTTCAGTCTATCAGCCGTCAGGCTACTCTCTTGCACATATACACATCTAACACAAGAAAACCCACGGATATTGAGTCAGACAAAATTTTATCTCCACACTGTAGCCTTATTAATTACGGGAAAGTTATGCCTGCAAAGCTTGGTCAAGGTTTTGGGTAGTGTCTTTGACTATAGAATCCCGTCCACTTTGCCTATGTTTGTAGGTTAGCCCGGGTGTTCATACCTACCTCCCAAACACGAAGCCACATACACTTTCTGACTTGTTTATCCGATGGCCATTTTGTGAGTTTACCTTACAGACATTTCTTACGATATCCGGGTGGCAAAAGGATAGAATAACCAACTCAAATAAACAACTCAAATGCCAGGTAAAATGTCATGAACCTTGTTGATTTAAGTGGACATCTGGCTGAAAGAATGGCTAAGACTGTCGCAGTCGTCGTGCTGAGTATGATGGAGGTTATTTGAAAATATTTCTGGTAAAATACTGGGCTGATTGCAGACTCCTGTAACGCCACTAACGTCACTGAGCGTATTCAAGTATGCCAAGCTGACTGTGCAGCGTTTCAAAGGTCAAATTTCACCACGTCGACTGTAACCTTGCCGACGCTGTGAAATTATAAAGAATCTGAAGTCTGGAAAAACATACGGGGGCGATTAAGCATAACACAAGCCATCTAATCGCAGAATATATGGCTGTGCCTCACATAGAGCAGACGAATATCCTGTAAGTTGAAGTCGTTCGTGCATTCTGACGTTGAATTTCCGAAATATAGCTTTCAGAAGTATGGAGCTTACAGGATTTGGAACATCAAGATGTTGTGGGCCTTCCGGTGGCATTCTTAGGTTGTGGGTTTTTTCTTGGTTTCTGGTGTCCCAGACGGCTTATTCGTTGATTGTATTGTGGCACAGGTTTTCACACAACCTTGTCTTTTCTGAATATCAGTTCTTGTCGAATGTAGGAAAATCTGAAATGCAAAAGAGTTCACAACTCTGCACAGCTACTGGCAGTAGACGAATCAGAGTTACAGAATTAAAGCGTGTGTAAAGAACGCAGTGGGTCCTTCTGTCACTTCATATGGCAGGCATAAGACTTTCGTTATAGCTGTCGTGCAAACGATTTCACAACTCTGCACAGCTACTGGCAGTAGACGAATCAGAGTTACAGAATTAAAGCGTGTGTAAAGAACGCAGTGGGTCCTTCTGTCACTTCATATGGCAGGCATAAGACTTTCGTTATAGCTGTCGGTCAGCGTAAAACCGGTCTAAGATGTGGGGACAAAATCAATCCTACATCTGTGTAGCGATTATGAGTGGGAGAACAACAAAGTGAGGTTTACGTTATGCGGGTTCGAGAATCACTTGGGGTTGTGAGGGTCTGAGAAGACGAAAGATGTATGTTTGATAGCACTATACTCTGGCGCTTACAGTGAATAACTCGTTAATGGGCAGCATCTACCACACAGAATTATTAGTGAACAAATTTAAGGCTGCTAGAAGAGCAAATGAGTCAGACCTGACACTTGTTTGAAAGGCAGTTCATGTTTGTTGCAATCAGGTCATCTGCTCACTTACCCTCCTCTTCTGAGCTATTTTATCGGAATTCGAAGTTCGTAACAGTTCACGGGACTCGGGATATTATTCAGGGGCCTAAAGGAGTAGGGATCCTTTCATATTTTACTCGCAAGTTGGTCTACTACTTCCATGTAGCTCAGCTGAGTATGTAAGCGGTAACAAAATTGTGCATGGAACTCATCCAGAGCACCCGCTTTATCCAGTAGCCACAGCCTAATAATGCTATATTTATTACGAACACTTTACTGCACAGGCCATTTACAGGTAATAGTCCGTACGTTTTCGCGTACTACATGCCGCGTACTACTACCGCGTACTACTACCGAATCACACTGGCTTTTCTATATCGCAGTCAAAAGAGCGGAATGTGATTACAAGTATATACATATGTGATTGTTCCTATGAAGGCACAGTGCCGTAATACAATGCAGGTTGAACACAAATTTAATGGAAAATGAAACCGGTTGAATAAAAATCAGAGAACTAAGTGGGTATTTTTCAGGTGTACTATTTACCCTGCTCAGCAAAGTCACACTCAAACTCTGTATGGTCCTTATATTACTTGCATTCATCATGGTTTCGGTTAGCAATGAATGACGGTTTGGGATGGCGGCAGTGAAGCATTGGTGTTGAACACCGATGTCTTGGTGTCGATGATGATTATGACGGTTTGGGAGGGAAACTGTTCGCCTGGAGGCGAGATTTCAAGGTATTATAGCGAGACTGCAGTGCAACTGTATTAAATATAACGACACATCGATTGTGCTGATGTTCCATTCTTTGTGCGGAGAGATGGCAATCAATTTTGGTGTAGTTTTCCTCGCGAAAATCTTCAGTAGATACGTAACCGGACCATGTTTGCCTTTGCTGCAGATCCGAGAGCATCCATAGTCAAATTCCGAATTCCTAGGCACCCGCTTGCAGATAACGGGTGACTGATCAGACCATTGCAAGGTTTCCATACTTACCTGGGCAAAGAATAGCGTCACGTCACCCTCACATATGTCTCAAAGTAAACCAGTGGAAGCAAGTCACATGCTGTACAGTGGGTAATAATTTGCAGTATAGATTATATAAAATGACCAAAAATTAACGACGGCATGGAACTGTAGACTGTTTGTGAGACCCCTTTCAGATTGTGGCTCAACATATTATTTATATAATGACACTGTAATTTCGTTTGTTTGCGAGATGACTGGTGCTCTACTGATATAATTTTGGCCAACGTACATGCCTTCAATAAGCTAATCAAGTCTCCTCATTGTGGCTTTACAGGAACACTCCTGCATAATTTTAGAGCTACACATGAAATCTGGACTCAATTGGAAGGACCGGAATCGTTTTTTTGGATTTACCGGTAGTGTTGGAACCATTATTTTTGGTGGAGTTTTAACTTCAGCTTCAAATTCGACGCGCTAAATTAAACACTCGACCTGGTCAAGACTTACTGACTTCAAGTAATTATCCCAGGATCCTAAGAACCTAAGTAGCACTTATTTTGATGGAAACATAATTCAGTCAAGCACTTTTCGTGCAAGTCAGCTAGGCCGTCAGCGGGATTTTGAAACAGTAAGGAAAAGGATAGCATACCTCAACGTGGCACTTTGAGTAGGATGATTTTATGTGCTGATAGTTTGAGGAGACAAGGAGACCATTGAAAAGTGTTTCTCGGCTTTTCATAAATAAATTCGATTCAATTACATGACTCATGCTGGCATAGTACTTTGATGTGGAACACGAAAATCTGTAGCCATTCTTTCTAGGCCCCAGCATAGATTGTCTATATGAAAGTTTTGCCCTCCGTTTAGAGTGGAAGACTTTAGAATGCCTCAAGCGGTAGTGAAGATGTGCAGACATCTGAAGAAATTATTCACGTCCTTGGAGCTTCCCATTGGATGGTTACCAGGAAACAATAACATGATAGAGACTTGTAGAAGTTTATCTTCATTTGGTCTAGTTTGAGTGCAGAGGAATGGGTATAGATTGATGGTCATCCGATTAGTAATACTGTAATTTCAAAAGTTCGATGTGCGGAAATAAGTGGTTAGAAGAATGTTTGCCACTAATATCCACTAATCTTGATAATCGTTCACGCATTTTTCACTGCTAATCAGTAAGCTAATACAAAGAGGATCAAGTTACAGGGACTGTTAAACTAGGCCAACTGGCTGTGTACTGAATTCATCTCAACTGGTGACGAAATTTCAACACCCCTGTGCACAGCGTGGTAAGCAACGGTGCAATTTGAGCTACCGAAGCTCGCGTCTATGACCAACTGGCTGTGTACTGAATTCATCTCAATTGATGACGAAATTTCAACACCCATGTGCACAGCGCGGTAAGCAACGGTACAATTTGAGCTTCCGAAGCTCACGTCTATGACAAAATGATGGGGCTAGTAGGGGATAACCAAATATGATCCCAACATTATGAGGCTCTGGGAAGACTGTGAGGTTCCACCTGTCAAAGACCAGTTAACACTGAAGGCACTTTCACTGTTGTTGGAAATCATTTTACAAACATTATGTAAATTTTTGAGTGGATTTGAATGTATGAATGCATGCACTCTGTCAAAGATGCTACTAAGATATACCACTGAATGAGCTGCAGTTATAAACTAACTCATAGCTTACTGCTGGACAAGCTCTCGTGCTCAAAATTCAGCAGTCTATCAGGCTACAATCAATTTGTTCAAGGGTGTAAGTTTAACTAGCTAAGTAATGTATTTTCTAAGACAAATTACTTCGCGGGCTCGTTTTCCCGGGGTAAAATCACACCTTCTCATTAAAAAGTAGGTGGCCTTTTCTTTTAAAAGTTGGTTTGAATCAATCGGCGAATTTCTTTTAACAGTACGCTTGGTAGTCCATAACTTCATGCCCATGTTCCCAGGGTTTTTGTGTGAAACAAGCATTCCCAGAACAACACTAAGCACGATTACTCACCTGTAGAATGCAAGAATGTAAAGAAAATTTTTGCAAGTTTGAAATAATCGAAAGCGAAATAAAATCCCAACTAAAGTACTCCTGTTGTAAATCCACAAGTACTCCTAGGATCCTGCTTTTCCTAATATATGTCAGTGTGAAGGCAGGCTATTCCGAACAGATCGATGTTGTTTGAAATCTTCACGTGATATTACCAGATGACACATAGCAAACTACCCTGCTTTGACGTCAGTGAGGAATTTGTTTTCACAAATTTTGTCATAATTGCCACCGTGGTAACATTTCCGTTCAACTCATTGACTTAACTCATCAGTTTGTCAGTAGAGCAAACAGGACTAAAGAACTCTTTTCAGAACACCCGTAAAATTCTGGATTACTTGTCAATCTGCCTGCAGGTCTCTTAGAAAAGCAACCATGAATTATCATCTAGAGCATGCATAAAGCATCCTTAAATTAAAAATGGAACACAAACAAAGGAACATACCTCCGCCAGTAGGAAACACTTTTTAAGAAATGGATAGTGTTTTCCGTATATCCTTCTTTTGGACAGTATCTGTTCCCCATCTACCCTCACAAGGAACATGCCTTGTTGTGCAATGAAATTTTTGCCGTAATAAAAGAAAGGCATGTAATAAGCAAGTGATAAAGTAATCTGAAAGTAGTGCACGTATATGTTACAAACTGGGTCACCTCTTGAAACCCTGATATCATGTTTGAATGCTCCTCATAAACCTCCTCAATTTGACTTTATGAATCATGCAGCATTATGAGATACTGTACTCCGAATATAATTGATTTTCGGGGAAGCCAACTTGCTATTGACATCAAACACAATTAATGACCAACTCACGGTGCATAATGATGATTTCTCCCATTCAGTCTTACTAATAACTTACAAAAGGCATATAGTTCTCCCCACTCCATTTCAAATGGTTCGTGGTATCAAGTACACTGATTGCTCAAGGTATTTAAAATGCTTTCACCAAATGTAGAAAGTAACTTGTTTTTCTCGGTTCTAGGCTGAGAAATCCGGAAGCAGTGCCCGATCATCGAGACCACGACGCTACCGGAATTCCGTAAAAAGTCTACGTTGTAAAGAACGAAAGTTTCCACACCAGTGATTCCCTTCCGAAAGGGGTTCGTGGTACGACTACTGTTCAATTGTTGTGCTTGAACAGCTAAGCTATTTCATTCTGTGCAGTGTTTAGGCAGAAGTGAGGTGGCTGGGGTTGCTTTCATACAACTGAAGTGGCGTAAAACGAAAATGAGCTCAACGGCCGAAATCCAGGCTTATCGATTCCCAATTTCACCTGTGCGATGCAGAGATCCCAGGTGTCTTCTCCCGACTTTCTGGTGTCTACTTTTAACACAGCATGAAAAGGCTGGGTTTTATACCATAAGAATTCATGAGGTAATTTTTGGTAAGTCATACTTAGTTGTGCGCATCTGCTATCACCGTATTCTGATATTCGGATGTAATCTTTGAAAACCAGATGGGGAGTTACTCATGTCTGCCTTGGACTCCAGGAACTTGGCGTTGCCGCCTTAAAGAGTACCTGAAAACCCTCCCCAAAATGGTAGTCGCACTTGAAAGCAGGAACAAGGTACAGTTTCACCACTGGTCTTCAAGATGCTATCAAGCGCTGACAAAGTCGAATCAACTGCAGTAACATAAGCAGAGTATATTATGATAAGACATCATTTCACCCATGGTGTTTTGGGTTTCTGTCCTAAAATTGATGCTCTGTGCTGCACTTTAGCCATGTTTTCAACTCGCCCGAGAAAGTCAGTGCTATTTGAACTCACATTCCCCCACAGTGATCGATTAAGTACCAAATGAACGAAGAACCAGCCAGGTCCCGTTCCAGACGTCATGAGAAGCTAGCAGTACCAAATATTTTTTATTGCCTTTACAATATTTTACCTGGTTGCCCATCACCTGATTTATTTCACTTTGGACTGAGCAACGTAAATCGCAGCTTTTGGCAGACTCAACAAATTCTGCGCGACACATAATCAGGCCAGCATGCTTACGGCCTGGGATATTATTTTCTTTGACATTTTGCTGCATGTCCAAACAATTGCTTCGAAATTTCACAGAGGATCCATGCCCTTAAACTCACAAGGAATGTGCATTTGGGAAGCCAGTTTGAACGGGCAGGGTTCTTGTTACACCTGCTTACGGAAGCAAGCAATCGGTTAAAAAACAGAAAAAATTGAGACACAATTAGTTAGACGTGGCTACTATTGACTGATTTAGTTAACAATCTACAAAAGCTCTTTAAGGTTTTTGCATGACGGTTCACTGAACTTCTAAGTTGAGTATGGCCTTATCCTATCTGAATAGATAAATCGTTTCATGCAGCTGCGTGGATAACGACTGGTTGATCTAAATGTGAGAGTAACCTTATATTTCTATTCAGTTTTAGAAGATTTCTCTCCACGCCATGTCCCGTAGAGCATGCGTTTTGAAGTTGATGCGGGAGTATTTTCTCAGACCACACAATGTGGGAGCAGGTTAGTACTCTGACACATTGATTCATTAACTGAAACATGTACTGTCGCTCAAATATTCGACTCAATCAAACGGCCACCGACTTTTCTGCACAGACTGGGAGATATTTTATGGAATATTACCCAAGCGCCATGGAGTGTCGGTCGGTTTCATGCTTCAGTCATGTTTGAATCCATGAATTAGTCGCGTGGCTCAGCCAATCAAATCCTGAACATTCGCGAATTGGCCACAGCTATTGGACAGAAAAAAGCCGAAACTTTCGTTAGTGGCATTATGTCAGCTGAAAAACTCACCCCGTTTTACAGTCATCACGGTTTTTAGAAACAAATGGTGATGAACAACGATGACGTTGCATCCAGATCAAGATTTTAAAAAAACCACACGTCAAATCACTATAAAATCTACGTGTATAGATCAAATTTTAGTCCTTCCATATTATGTCACAGCACAGCATAAAGAACACAAGAGTCAGTTCGCTGGCTATGGCTCCTCCAGAGACGTTGATCGCACACCACGAAGATGGGATACAAGAATAGTCTTCGGCTAAATACTGCCATACTTTCTTGAAAGATTGCTAGTCATAGGGTATCTGAAACCAGTTCGACAGCCGATGACCGGTTTCGCTCGTCCTGAAGACCATCAGGCAAGCGCCGACGAGCCTCCATCAACTTTTATGTTCAACTTGAAAGCCAACTAGATAACATTTGCAAAATTCAGCCATTTGAACAATTGATAAATATCGGAAAACGGAAGCTATGCTGGAATTTAGCCAAGTCCTCCGTTAAAACCAAACTAGTTCACTATTGTTTTTTTATCCCCAGGACGCCCAAAGATTCAGTTTTATGTAATCAACAACAGCAGATTGTAAGGATCGAAATGCTGTGCTTTAACGGCACTGTCAGTGACTTTGTCAGCTGCTCGGGAAAAATTCACCTCTCGTTTACTGAAAAGTCCTTGCTTGTCTCTTTTACAGGACCACCTAATAATGTTCCGTGATAACGATACAACGACAGTGGTTACCACATTGACCAGTTTATAATCCGCACATCGGAACTTTAGCCTCCTGTCTGCTGTTGTCAGCTTTGCACTATTCTACAGCCATTGTTGAACGGGTAGCATCAAGTTATGGTCTTGCTCAAGAGCACAATTTGTTTTTTATAAAGGTGAAGTTAAGCAAATCTGCCGTGACTATGTCAATATAATCGGCAAGGTCTCCGTCACGTTTACACAATTACCATACGGGCAAGATGAAAATTACTCATAGGTAGGATAAAAAGAGTAACACCGCATGGGTATTTTGTGAAGATACTATAGGGTACAATCTACATGCATTTCCGAATATCGATGAAAATATCATCTTCCATTCCTACTTCGGAGTAGGATGCGACTTGAACGGTGGAGTCAGTAACACTTGGGAGTCCCACTGAAAATATTCCCACAGACAAAGGCAGATCACATTTTGCTGACAGCTTGACTAGGATCCCACGGCATGTTTGCAGCTTGGACAGCTGTTTTCCTGAACAACGCACACTGACTCACAGTAAACGCTCCAGATAGAACTAACAAATCCCATACTACTTGGTAGGCGTATGGGCATTTCATTTTCCCTTGTCATATCGGAGCTTCCCCTCAGTCATATCTTAGCCAGCTAGGGTGCAAAATGAAAAGTACGCTGTCTCTGAAAGATCCTGGGCAGCAAATAGTTCTAATGTATTTGCTCCCCATTACTAAGGACGGTAGTGTGTCACCAGCCCTGAAGTCAGTGAAACATTTAAAGACAATTATGGTTTTGTTATCGGAAAAGTCTGAATTAACATTGATACAAGCCATCATTTTCACATGTTCCCTCTGTTTCAAGAAAATTTCTTTCCTAAGCCATAATAGACACCTGTTAACTTTTATGGTTTCCCGCAGATGCCGAGGTTTTTAAACCAGTCGACAAACTGAAACTCATATCCTGTTGGTGAAAGAGGACAGAAGAGATTGAAGAGCCCAGGGGCGTGACCTTACAAAAAAGTGCGAAACATTTGCCGAAACAAAATACCACATGTGATAGTTTGTTTAGAGCAGACTAAGCAAAATTGAGTACGGATAGGGATAGATAGCACAAAATAAACTCAAGAAATTGAACAGAATCTAACAAGGATTTGAAATCAAAAATATTTGTGGATAACTTGAGATTCGACTAAGGGAATATTTTCGTCTGTATCTACTTTTTGGTGATCGTGTGTTCAGTCGCTCCGCTTGGTCACAAAAACGAATTCAACAATCAGCTGTAGGTCTACTGTAAACCCACCTAATCATGCACTCACGGATGTCTTCTTGTAGGTTGTCACAACATTTGCAGGAGAAGCGCCGAGCTTTGGAATCAGGTGAACTACCGCCTGGTTGAAAACCAGTCAGTCCACCTCAGCTACCAATAGTTAGTCACAGATGGTGCTAAAATGAGTCTACTCAGTGGCGGAAAAATCGGGCCACAAATGCTCATGCGCAAATTTTTTAAACCGGTCTTCCGTCCTCTTTCTACTTATCTATCAAATCGTTCGTGAGACGCAATGTTTTGGATGCCCAAACCTTGGCTGAGAATCACCTTCTACTCGTTTGTTATATCGACAGTGGTAAAGCGCACCTCTTACATTTACTCGGATTTTAATTGGTCTCACCAGACTCAAAACCTGCCTATGGAGTTTCTTTTGTCAACAGCAAGACAAAGCATCAAATTTGTCACGAAAGTTCTCCCTGTACGGCTAGCATGGTATGCTGTTTCGGACATCGATGCCGCACAACTAGTATCTAGCACCTCCAATGTATGGGTGTGGTAGTTACGTCATTAAGCGAACTCTCTGGAACCAAGTTCTTCAGACCGAAAATTGTCTGTGTCGCAATGGAGAATTTATTAAAACTTGGAGTTGAGAAAATTTGGGAGAAATCGAAAGATCTGTTGCGAAGTGCATAAGCACGTTTGTTTTTAGACTATATGTAACAAACGTGTAGTCACGGCTTCGGCGAGTAATACCTCATGATCCTTGGAAGTTCACAGAATATAAACGCAGTAATTGAATTCACCTCTAAACGTGAGGTTTTTTGATAGATACTTTTGACATGGTTTTTGAGGAAACGCTGACAGCCAAGATTTTGTTAGTGCTTTCAACCCACTTGCGATGAAGTGTTTGCAAACGGGTTGATTAGCAAGGAGGAAGGAAAACCGTCATAACAGAAGAACACCACCTTGCGTGAAAAGGCTGAAAATGAATTAACCATAAAGACAAAATTTTCTGTCCCATGGTTTCCTAATTCGATTTAAACCATGTAACTACAGTGGAATATTCGGACATAAATTAACATACAGTACATAAGTTTCCGCTGTATATCAGCAAATTTCCAAGCCAATCTGAGGATGCGGCGCCTATATAATATATACACATATTTATATATATGGTTTGTCAGTGCCTAACGTGGTCAGCGCTCAGTAGCTAACGAAAGCAGTCGGGTTAACGTAAACGACATTCTCAATTCACAGATACCTCAAAAAGGTATTTTTGGCTGGCGTCCTTTTTGGCAGAGGTTCAGTTTGATGAACTTTGGCAACAGAGAAGCACCAAAGCTGTCTAAATTGTGGGAAACCCAGCTGCAATTTTCAGTGTATAATCCCCAATATCCCATATTAGGGATTATGGGAGCTGGTGTTTAGAGGCACGGGCGTCTCTCGTTCATCATTTAAAGTAATCTATGTGCTTAGTACACCGTTTGACTGGTCAAAATATATCGTGCTGCTCTCGATCTGTGAGTGCTCGGTGAACATAGTTGTTTTTCTTCTGTTCCTTGTTTGAGTTTGATGGAAAAATGGAATGCCAGAAGGATGGCCTACGCCGAGTGATACTTTCACAAATAACTAGTTATGAAGCGCACATCAGAGAAATGAAAATGGCCTAATAGCAGATCAGCATACGAAAATGTAAGTTAATGAGGTTCCCAGTGAATCACGTAGCCCGATCGTGGAGGGACTGGTTAGACTCCAGATCCCTGATATGATACATCTGTAAAACAGCTTCGACATTATGGTCAAATATTTCTTAAAATCTAGTGGTATTATGTCATGGATATTGTACGGATGCGAAGCCCTTTGTCCTTTAAGACGCTGCGACAGTGTTTTCGCGCCAAACATTAGCTACCTACTTCCCTATCGTCGTACATTTCATTGATGATGTGAAACCTGATGTAGGACTAACCGTGGTTCGTAACTCATCATATAATAGGGTGCAGATAAAAAGCACCAAGAGAATGCTTCGAGTTAATACTAAATTCGTCGGTATGACATCTCAGAAAGCACAAAATGTTCCATTCCTTTTTTCTTCACAATACCGTTACATCAATAGTGAGTTTCTTGCCAGGGAGTCAACCTATGGTGACAAATTTTGGTATTGAATAAAATCTGAAGGAGATTGCGTATTTTGCCCAGGGTGTACACTATTATTTTCAGGTCACAATTTTTTACAGACTTTATTTTAACTGTTGAAGTGCCACACCTTACGGCTACTGTATTGCGGCTTCGTCGATTTGTCGATAGACTGATCTGTTATATACAGATTATACGGTGTATCTAGTGAAGTGACTCGTGACTCGGAATAAATCTGGTTTGGAGAAAATGCTTTTATTCCCCACTTTCAAATGCAAAACGAAATAAATCTGTACCTAGCAGCAACCTTATTTTCCATTATCTAAAAAGGTCACACAAGATCTTCACACACTTTTTATAGTAAAACATGAAACGAACCAGATAAAAGAAAAAAGATTACAATAATCACGGAAAAGTGCACTTAGGAAGTCATGGTAGTAGACAGAAAAAGTGTTCAATCTTCAAAGTAAACATCCTCAGAATCTTGTTCTCGTTTGCCTACTTCGAGCTCAGCTAATCTGAAAGCTTCGAGGAATTCATTGAAATCGATTTCACCATCTTTGTTCAAATCAATGGAGCGCGCCATATCCGAAATACTCTTTTCGTCGATATGCGCCCGATTGGGTAATCGTAAACAGGCCGCTTGGAATTCGGCAAGTGATATGTGACCTAGAACATAAGGAAATATGCTTCATTCAGAAACGGAGGTCACTGCGACAAATTTATAATGGTTAGCAAATAAGTCGAAGATGTGTCCTATTAAATGTGACGTGCAGATATTCTAGAGTGGCCGGCACGTTTGAAAGAAACCTATGGTTAAAATTAATTAGGTTCACGAGACCTTCTCAAGGAGGAAAAATTGTCAGGCACCACCGAAATTGGCGCTCATGTTTCTAATTAATTTAGGTTTACAATTTGTTTGCTTTTTGTCCTATTGGCTCACTCCTTCTTGTGGTTCAGTCAACGACGCCTTGAAGTGGCTGTATTGGGCATCATGAAAAGCGTGTGTTGTTCTAGAACCCACCGGCACAACATCTAAAATAGTCGCGTTCTCGCATGTGGTGGGTCAGCATCTGTTTCCGGATAGGCCTGCCACACCGAACTGCGCCGATTGACACGCACACAGTAGGTAGTATCACCTATGGTTTGACTTAAGAAGTATACGCCTCTAACCTAATTCCTGCACTTGGTGTAAACTCGAGGGAATAAGCCTGTAGAATTAACGGAAATAGCAGCTTTACATCACCAACGCGCCAAACTGGGGGTTCACAATTATCAGTCGTGCTATCTAAGCACTTGGTGTAAACTCGAGGGAATAAGCCCTCAGAATTAACGGAAATAGCAGTTTTACATCACCAACGCGCCTAACTGGGGGTTCTCAATTATCAGTTGTGCTATCTATAACGTTGAGCTCTACAGTCTCTGCAAAATGGCACCTTGTGGCTCTTACCTGATTCGAGACGGCACACAATGATCAGCTAGTGCTAGCGGTTATTCAGTTTGGTTATATAACGCCGGTTAGAGAGGCTTGCCTCCAGCACTGTTGTAGATGTGCCATTCCGGAATATCCAGCTCCTTAAGTAGTGGTTTTGCTTATATACAGTAAACGGCTGGAAATCGTATCCGTTGGTGTCTACTCTATACAGAACGTGTCACCTGCGAACACATCCCTTACAACTCAAGGAGGATCACTGGAGGGTGTGGAAAATTTTACATACCTCGGTAGTTATATTGGCTCTGACGTAAGTGTCTGATGAAGTCAGTGCAACAATCTCAAAGGCTCGAATCACGTTTGTTAACTTGCATCACTTGTGGCATCGGAAAGGCACCTCACTAGATCTTAAGGGTCGTGTGGACCAGGCTACATAAAGGGCTGTGTTGCTGTATTGTCGCTAGACATGGCCTCTGCGGGCAGATTATGTGAGGCGTCTTCAGGTTTTCGACCACCGATGCCTCAGAAGCGTGGCTGGTTTTGGATGGCGTCAGCGTGCTACTAGGGAAGTGATTAGAAAACGGATATTCGGTTGTGCAGCAGGTACTTCAATGCGGGAAAACATCCAGCCCCACCGACCACGATCACTCGGTCATGTGCTAGGCATGTCAAAACTCTATCTACCGAGACGAGTGTTGTTCTCCGTGCCTCCTTCAGGATGGCGAAAACCGCGAGGTGGACAGTACATGACTTGATGCGAAGGCGTGAAAGAGATCACAGAGAGTTTGGGTATTGTTGGTGCTGTACGCCTTCCAGGCTGGGATCCCGGTGACCCCGCCTGTGCTTGGCTGGTGACCATGCAAGGAATGGCACCCAAACGATGTCAGTATAGATGAACCCTATGGTTCTACGGCAGTGAAGCATCAGTGCCAGCACTGATGATGCTGTGTTCCATGATAATGACGATGATGATGATGATGTTTTTAGGCCGTCGTGCGGCGAATGTCAGGCCCATTGCACTGCCACCAGCACGGGATATGCATTGGTTTCTGAGGATATGGGCTTCATCTACTTCAGACGTCTGAGTAGTACTGATGCGAGCAAATGTTACGCACAGCTTAGTAGACCAATGGCTATCTAGTTATCAAATGTAGTAATGTTTCCTTTTTCCTTGCAGAACGGCGAGAATAAAGCGTTCCTAACTTCTGGTCGAACTGCCTCCTTATAAAGCCAGATCATATTGACCTATCTCACAAATGCATCATTCAACGTCGGGCCCCTACCGTTCAACGGTCCCCTTCAGACGTGTCTCCTTTACTCGCCTTGGTGTAACCGCATCTGCGTGTTAACCTGTGGTACCTCTTCCGTCGTTGAAGGAAAGTAGACAGAATCGTTCAACTCTCACTGAGACAGCATATTTACCACATTCCAGTCGAAGCTGCCTGTTGGAGAGCTTACGTCACACATCCAGTAATTCTGTAGGTAACTTCTGTTCCTGTCTTATACCAACATGCTCATAAATCTGGGTTGGTTCATCGCTGATCGTGCTTATACATTTCAATCAACCGAAAATTTATTTGTTCGATTGTCAGTTCGCTCGCTTTTCTTTCTTCACCATTGGTCATTGATTTTGCTGAATTGCTGATTCAGGTCATTTCTAGCATCTGCAATTTCTGGATCCTTGTGTCCAGATAGGTAAAAGGTTCGGCATGCTGTTCAGTTTCTGCTGATTTGTTGTTGTCTTTGTTAAACCAGTCAGAATGCTTCGTATGCATTTGCTCAGTTTGACCACTCATCGATTTGTGCCACACCTCTGTCAGCGGGCTGAGTGGATTAGGGGATGTCAATGCGGTCAGCAGGTGCCGGTGCCGGAATTTGTTTCACAGCAACCTTTGTGTGCTAGCCGATGCAGTTGACCTAGTGTCGCTTACGAATCTGGATTTAAGGTTCTTCTCAAGCAACCCGGTAGTCCACCTCACGGTCATTCATCTCACGCACGACTGTTACACAGGCCGCCGACGGTCAATAACACAACCTAGTTGATGAAGTTAGCTGTTGGGTATCCATATGGCGATATGTTGTGTTGTCGATAGCAAACGCGCAGATCGCGTGGAACATGAGGCGCAGTACCATTGGGTTCTGAGTCAAGGATTATCTCGATCCAATCCAAAAGGACTAAGACGATACCTTGATCCTTCTTCCCACTTTCGGACACCAGTCAAGTGCAGTGTGCATCAAGGGTCATCTCACGAACGTTTCCATGACTAGTCATTGGTTTTTCGCCGACTGCCTGGAAGACGATTCCAAATCCTTTCATCTTCATTGTAACCAAAAAGATATACCATGAACAACGCTCTAAATGGCTATTGGCCTGGTTCAGCAATGATCGGGTGTTCCACGAGCCCACGGTTATCAGATCACGCGCACAAACGCTCAAACCACGCGACAATCCCTGTCCCACTTGCAACCCTAGCCGACAACCTTGCTGAAAACTTCTGGAAACGCCAAAACCGAGGGATTCAACTGGGTTCCAGGTGAGTCCCTCGAAAAACCAAATTGGTTTGCAAATGAATTGTATTTCCCGGCCACGACTTGCGTAACGCGCCAGGCTTATGAACTTTTACACACATGTTCGTGCAAGCATCAAACACGAAAGGACACCCCTCTCTTCACACTGCACGCAAAAAATAGGCATACAGCTAGGGTCAACACGCACTCGCACGCACAGGACAGGAAGTCAACAGAGCTCCGCAGGTCTCCATGGGCAACTGCGAAACACGTGTAGCAGCTATTCTGCAGAGAAGACACGTCCCGCGTCCGGAACTTCGCTCAGGAACTCTCAACAAGTGTCCTCAAAAGATAAGTCACTTTTTGGCTTTTCGCATTGTATCTTATCATATCAAGCGCACCTAACTATTGTATTCATCACAATCTAGTTAGACAGGTATTTGTTAGTGCTTGTTACTTTCTGATAATTAACCTAATTACGTCACAACAGTTTCGGCCATCAACTAGGCGGTTTACTACATGAGGAAAAAGTAACTCCCGGAGAGGCCCGTGTCCAACAGTTTCGGATGATGCAGAATATCTATATGAAACACAATTCTCGGTTTGATTCACCCAATACCTGATTCACCAGATAATCCTGCTTCCTAAAGTTGTTATGCTGTTGTTGTCTAGTGACTTCGAAAATATCTGTTATCGACGACAGATGTGCAGCTAGAAAGTGCCTTATGACCCCGAAAGATTAGCTTCACTTTGTTAGGCTTTAATGGTCGAAATGCCATGTGATGGATAAGGCGACATGTGAAAACCATTTAAACAGTGTGTGCGTGTAAAAGGTCTTAACTATGTCCCTGCTGCACAAAGTAAAGATCCACCCCAGGTCCAAACACGTTCCAAGTCCCCAAAAATATGCAGTCACGCTGTCAACCAGTCAGAAAACGGAACAGTGTAACCATTCCCTGTTTCATTACCAACTTGTGTACAAAAGATCCGCTAACAGCAAAAATTCCTGGCAAACGAGCGGGATTTACCGAAGGAATGGCTAACAGCGTGAAAAATCTATCACTCAGTGCCACAAATTCAGGCCTGGCCTGGGATCATATGAAGTCATAGCCTCACAGATGTTTCACTTCGTATATGGTGAAACCACCAGGTTGTGCTCCTCCTAATCTTTGTGAAGCGCCACTAACCGTCAATCCTGGGGCCAGCAGCCTCAGAAGTGGTCTCAGCATGGGCGACAACTCAAACGCGTACATGATTGGTTCTTGGCAGCAACTTCACTAAAACCAAACATCCGTTGGTTTCAACAGATTGCCGCGAGTTTCCTGCGGAATTTGAATTTTGAGTTGTCAACTCAACTTTTTACCTCGTTGATATTCTTTTCAAAGCAGTGTGTCTCCTGTTCTCTGGCATATTTTCAATTCGAAGTAGCATGGTGGATTACGTTGGTTAGTTTGCTCTAGTGAATTTGTAAAGGCAAATAATTGGCAGTAATATATGGAAAGCTTCGCACCGTCCCTTAGAACTAGCTATCGGAGAATTCCGAAAGACAGGGATCCTTTTGATAGTGGATGGAACAGCTGTGTTCCTAGTAAGACCGTGGAAACCCAAAGATAGCACATTTCCGGATCTGCTGTGCTTAGTTCAACGGTAACCTGACTGGTTTCTTTTTATTACTCATGGATAGTGCTCTCATTATATGTAACACGTTTTCCCACAGCAAAACTTTGAAGAGAAAATAACAGTTTGCGATTAGCTGAAAGCAGTGCAAGGCTCGCAATCGACCGAGAGCTACTGTTCCAGCCGAGGTACTTTACAAGTGCTTGCAATTACCTAAAAGACTATCATCCAGAATCTCGACCGACTTCTGTCATGCTCAGATGAACTCATTTGTTTCATGTGCTAGATCGGCAGGGGCGCATGCAGTCACATGGAATGCGAATACTAGCTTTGATACAATGGGAAGAATAGATATCAACGATATGACCTCTTCTGGTCACACGATTTCGAGAACCGGAAAATGCTGTACGTATGATGACCAAGTGAATGTCAACTGAAGATGGATTGCAACGGGAAAAGTCAAGTGTCCATTCACCCTTTCCCTTTAATGACTCTCATTGGGTGTGTTTATTCAGCCACTGTCCTTGTTTAGTAAGGATTTTCCAATATCGTCGCAGACATTCAGCACGATTCCTATTGTCCCAGCAAAATTTCTTATTATTTTCAATACACGTCCGAAAACAAAATGGGTGTGAGAAAATGGAAAGCCTGGGAGTTCCTACACAACTTCACCAAATGTTTTCTAGCCACTCACATATCAAATAACCACGTCATCAACAATCACCAAACGTCCCTCTGTCACCAACATTTGAAAACTTTTCCATTTGACCAGTTTCGGGAAATCCGCAGTATCACATTTCGTTCGCACGGTAATCTACTGCCTGTTGCACAAAAGGCTACGCAATACCAGAAGAACAGATTATTTCACTTACAGCCAAGAGTAATTCACAAACGATCTGGGTCAAATAAACAAACACAGAATTGGCAATCATCCTGGGAAAATCCGATAAATTCTCCCCAAGTGGATGTACGAGTGTGCCACTTGTTCAGGAGGAACTCATGGTCAGCGATTTCCTCTGACTGAGTGACTTTTTAAAGCTCAGCTTCGTTAAGACAAATACTGATTGTTCACCAGTAAATTAAGAATTAGCATAAAAGCCGGGATTTCAATACCCGACAGTGTAGTCAGGTTTGTCATTCTGTATTATTGGTAGATTCATTCGGTGCGTTGACTGAATTCAAGTTACCTCTAAAACGGGGATATCTGGTTGTTGGTCTGTTCGCCGAGCTTGGCGGTTGGATTGCAAACGTTTCGTTACCAATCGAGGTGACATCGTCAGTGCGGGGTTGAGTGGGTGAATTCCTCCCCTTCTGCTTGTGATTATATAGCTTCTAAACAGTATCTGGTAGATCTGGAAACGGTCGTGGTGTAGTCTGATTGGTCTTCTGTGAATTTCACGTGGTTGCAATCTCCAACCAGACACAGGAGATTGAAACCACGTGAGATTCACAGAAGACCAATCAAACTACGATTGGTGACGAAACGTTTGCAATCCAACTGCCAAGCTCGGCGAACAGACCAACAACCAAACAGCGCACACGAGCTACCTACATTCCACAACATTGCTAACGGGGATATCTGTAACTGGTTGCGGAATTTTTTTAAGACACCTGGTGAATTTGTTGCTAACCGACGACTGACCGTTACACAGCCTGAAATACGATCCACTTTACAGCGAACGATCAGTTACTCTGGTCTAGTGAAGAAACCTGCTTGTTTACTTCAAAACAAATACTTCGTGGCAGATAAAAATCGCTGATCTTCCTGTATGTTTCATCTTCATTTGCTATTAAAAAAGGTGATCAAATATCTGTTTTGTGCATGTCTTTAAACTTGAAATCAACAACTAAGATTATGCAATGATGAAGGGACGATGCACGAAAAGGCTCATCTGATTTTGTTGCATTGGTAATTACCATCATAATAAGCTACTCACATCATCTGAAACCTAACAAGGTTATTTTCTACTTACCCGAACCATCTTTGTCCATTGCTCGAAAAATGCCCTCCAGCGTATCCCGCTGTTTGTACAGTTCTTCAGTCAGAGGTGCTGGGGCCTAAAATATGAGAGGTTCTGAAATAAGTTATGACCTACTTAATCAAGCAACAACCTTCTAAGAAGTTCGGTAAAATCGAATGCGTATCCCATGAGAGTCCTCCAAAACAATGACGTAAACTTTGGAGCTACTCACACTGGGGAAACGCCAACATAAAACACCGAAAAGAGGGACAATAAAAGGTTTCAAATAAAAATGCAGCCTTTGCAGCAAGATAAGAACGAACGCCGAAGTGTGACCCCCATCCGGACAGCTGATTAGAGATCCATTGGTCTAAAGGGACCTGCTTGTTCAAAGTGGAACAGCAGGTTACTGAAATCTGCAACCTTGACGGGATGTAATCAGCCTCAATAGACTTCCATGACAATGAATATTGCATGTTTCAAATTCTGAAACCAGTTAACTTGGGAATTCTAAAATGCACCATTCGGAAACTATGGAATTGCCTTACTGTAATCCGACTTCTGCTCCGATATCTGCCTATCTGTGACGCCATATTTGTCAAGTTTGGTGTTGACCATGTGCTTGAATGTTTTAGAAGCGTCACTCAAGAACTTCCAACCAGGTGACATAAGCTTTGCATAGGTAACTGAACAGCCTGGTTACCTTTCTGCTTATACCAGGTGGTTCCTGCTGAGAATATAATTCCTTGGTCTCCACATGGTAAGTAATATTTTGGTTAGTATTTTCGTTGCTGGACAAAGTTATGTCTACGCTCTGAAGCATAGTGAGGTAACTGTACCACATAAAACGTATTAAGATCGCTGGGTCTTGCTTTTTTCTTCAAAAAAACGTGAACGAAAATTCCCAGAAACCTCCGTGACATTTCTGCATACTCATTACTTACTAAACAACCGCCAAAGCTTTTCCCCGGGTTTCACATAGCTAAAAATAGTGAGGTAACTGTACCACATAAAACGTATTAAGATCGCTGGGTCTTGCTTTTTTCTTCAAAAAAACGTGAACGAAAATTCCCAGAAACCTCCGTGACATTTCTGCATACTCATTACTTACTAAACAACCGCCAAAGCTTTTCCCCGGGTTTCACAATAGCTAAAAAACATTGATATTATTTTTAACAGAAAAAAGTAATGTGCAGAGTTTGGTGCCACATCATCAGTTGACAACAAAACCAAATCAGTCGCCAGTCACACGGGTGTGATGCAATACTTAAACAATTTCCTTATGAAAACAACTTTAAACAGACCGGAAATAACCCACAATTCAACTCATTCATTCAAGCGCAAAGAAGAAGCAGTCTGGTTAAATCAGTCTTTTTCAAATTGTTTTAATTACTCATTAATAATGCTTCGAGAAATGCGTTTTTATGAACCACGACAACCACAGTTGTGCGAGGTCATGTGCTTTGCCTGGCATGCCAGCATTCTTCCAAGGTGATCCCAAAAGGTTGACCATCCGTGTGGCAGGTGACATGAAAGTGTACTCACTGAGCCCATGTGGTACGGTCATTTTTGTCAGACTTGGAAACCACTGGAAAGATATATTGACTTGTAGATTATAATAACAGTCATCGTAATTATGAGGTTTCCCATTGTTCACATACAACAGCATGGAGCAGTTGTTTCCAAATTCACCGCAAATGCTGCACTGTGTTATTATTCACAACGAGGAGGCAAATGAAATTTGCCCAGGATGTTTTAAATATACTTTCCATCAGGATCTTTGATCAACCCCTGTGATCAAACGCTGTGTGTTCCCCTCGAATAATTCCTGAATAGTTTGCCGGTAGCAGGAATCTTTGCATACAGGAAGTAAAATAAGCACACTGATAATTAAATGAAATTAGTGAGAGCGGTAGGCTACAAAGACCTCACCTTTGTTAAGGAGTTTGAAACTTTTGTTTTTTCGAACATCGTTCCATAGAGGACCATGTGTTTTTCTTTAGCCGTATCAGTCAGTCGGGGTTGTAATGTGCGCCATGGAAGCTTCAGTTCCAGGACATTTTGCATGGCAGTAATCCACGCTGATAGGGTAATCTGACCTGAAACGAGTGCACAAAATTAAAAGTGATAGAGAAACTAAAGCATCTTACCCTATAATAAATTCAAAATCTGTATATTTGTATATTTTATTTATTTATTTATGTTTTAGTCCAAATAGCGGGGTGGAAAATGGTCTGAGACTTTACTGAAAAAGTACGCGTTATTATTTTGGTAGAATATTCCAAAAGTGCAGTCACCTTTTCAAAGTCTCGCAATTCACCGGAATTTGTAGCCACTGGTGCCAGACCACACTATCTTAAATCATTTGACCGTAGAGTAACTCTAGATGGATAGACCGCACCAAGTAAAGAAATTTGCCTAACGTATGATGGCTACTCCGGACGTCTTGTTCCAAGTTTTGTTTGCTACTGCGTATCGCGTGTGAAATGTAGGTTGACGAATAATACACACTCTTTTACTTTCATTTCAGTTTTTCTGTCTGAACTATCCGGCTTTAAATCAAACAAACAACCTTGTTTACAAACATGATTCCCGGAAGTCTCTTGAGGGTTCAAGCATGGCAGAAGTTACTAGGGTAGCAGCTAGACTGTGATTGAACTCGGTAGTAGTTTTCTAATGACGGGAACTTGGATTCGGCGATATAGTGAATGCACCTCAGTTTCCAAAAGCGCCGTTGAAAGCTTTCACTGGTTGCATGTGTAATGGGATGATTCGGCCGAGCGTATGAATTTACAAATCCCAATTGTTTATTTAATTCTGATTGGGGTATGAAGTTTGTTAAGGATAGTGATACATAGAGATAAGTACTCGTGCACCGACTCCCATCGGACTGTTAATACCACATTAGCTGGTACAGTCCATATCGTGTGACACAACCAAAAAAATTTTAATCCAAGGAAGTGGTTTTGCGGACCAATAAACCATGCCCAAATTGGCTACAAAACATTTGTGTTTCCTGATGTCAGTGAAAGCTTAAGACGTACAAACATCAAACTTTTGGCAATGTTAACATGTCGTGCCCACAGTACTCACTGACCGCTCCAGCGATGGTTTCAATGAACGATCTTCTAGAAGCTAGTGTTGACTTAATTAACATGCAATCGTCATGGCCTCCCTTCGATTCCGAAAACTCCTCGGGTTTTAGTCACTGTTTGCAGCGTGATTTTTAATTGAAAGAGATAGTTCGGCTGCATATGGGTCACCTGTAAGCTCTTCAGGGTTGTTGGTCCTCCTTGAGGAGGTCTGCTCATGGAGAGTGTGATGAAGATCGTTGAGCGTGAGCACAGGATCTGGTTCATCCCAAACGGAATATCAGTGCATCGCCCCCATAATATATAAGTGTCGTCATATAAATTTTAAAAAGTAAAAATTCACACCTGTTCGATCAGGATCCGCAGCGTGGAACTCTTTCAAAAGTTCATCGGAGTGCACCACAATTTTCTTCTTCAAGTCCATGAGGGCTGCTTCCTCAGCCGAGTTTATCCTGTCAAAAAAAATTGATTGCTCGATATGTAAGTGCATTAAAGCTTTCGAGTCTGTGCTGAAATATTTTAAGTTTAGTATCAGTTCAAGAAACATCAAATCCTGTTATGACACAGAAGTGCCCGTGATTAGATGGGAAAATATTTGGAAGAAAGTAGTATCACGGAGCAAAATACACAGTCACTTGTTCCTTCTAATGTCTTCGGTCAAATTTCATCCAAAGCCGAATGCCTTTGGAACTACAAAAACTTATTTCTTTCTCGGGATATTTAAAGAGCTTGGTCCTTTTTCAGTGTTCAGATTTATTCTTTCCCTTACTACAACATCGGCTTTGATAAAATTAGAAATATAACATCTTACGGTTATTAAAAATTATTTGTCAGCTATGTTTACAATGAAATAATGTTGCGATGCCTTTTGCGATAATTTGCACTAAACACCTGTCCATTTTGGTTTTCATAACCTTACACGGCAATCCAAAAAAAAACAAAGCAGGCACTTATGTAGACACAAAAAGTGAAGGAATCAAAATAACGGCGTAGCCGACACTGAAGAATCTTGAACAATGCAGTGGTCCCGTATTCAGCTACGTAGATCTTTCGTGCACTGTCTTCAGCTCTCAGAAAGGGTTTATTACTAACTTTTCTACACTCCCATTTCTCTGATAATTTCAGACTGGGCCGGATATTTAGAAATGGACAACTTTGACTACATACGAATATATGACGTCATTTTTTAGGCTGGCTGTATGTTCATGCCCTATTTCGTGAATTTTATCTTCAAAACTTTCTTGAAACTTCACTGAGGGACACATTCGGTCTATGCCGTGGGTTGATGCCCACCATCAAGTGCTTAGGCAGTGTAGGTTCACAGGCCATAAAGAAAGTTATAGCACCTCTGAAAGAAAAGGTTAATATCTTTGAGGTAAAACAGGTGTATGAATTATTAAAACGGGAGATCGTCGAGGGAGGTGAATGATTGAGGCGGTGAGGTGCACATGACACCCTTACCTTACGGTTTAGCAAGCAGCACTCAACCGCACGTACAAAAGTTCACTATTAATTGTACAAATGTTCCGAAAGTGGTCAATGACTTTTTGATAAAAGAACATTAGGCAATAAGAGGTTTGGACTGGGAAAAGCTTTGAGAAGGGGAAATTAGTCCTTTCGCTTCAGGTTTAGTGTGATTGGCCGGAAAATTATGATTTTTTAGGCCCCAATATTGCTTTAGATTTGTATACATGAATCGATATGTCTTCGCTCTTGCAGGCTTTGGCATCATTTCCTCACACGTGCACGTTGGTTTGGATCAAACAAACCTGAAAAAATTGTGCTGTGTGACATATTACTCCAGACTACTGTTTGGAGTATTTGAAAAGACTGCACGACACACAAAAGTTCACTTGTTCATGTGCATTTGTGTAACTCCTTGGTTTGAGCTGAATAACAGATATTTGTGTGAACCATTTCTGACTTTCAAGATGCCTGGAAATGGACTTCATGAACGCGCACCCCACAGCATAAAAGTAACGTTAAACCGTTGCTCTGGGTCACGGCGTGTTGACTTCTGTCAGTCGACTACGTATAGTCATCAGACACTTAAAAATTATACTGAAACGTGTAGGAAACACTTAACATGGGATCAAAAATGGATGGACGGATTCGGCGATGGATATTTTTGCCCTTCACTTGGACAGAGCTCTCTGTTGGTCTTTGATTTAAGGGTAGGCTCTAATCTGATGGTTCTAATCTTGTTCTGAGCTATGGAATAGAATAGAATTCATCATGGCAAACAATGCAGCTAGTTGACTCGCCAGGTTTTGCAGTGAGATCACAATGGGAACTCCAACGGTGTGGGCGGCAAAAAGGCTGTCTCCGAATATTCTGTTTAATTTCCCCACGTAAAGCTAAGATACTAAAGCCTTAACCACCGGGCGGATAGAAGCACAAGCAACTTCATTTGGTTTTGTAGGAACCGAGCGTAGTACGTGTGTGTAGCAGTGGACCCAGTAAATCGAATTGTGTAACATGACATTCTTCAAAGAAAAATTGTTAAAGTTTCATTTGGACTATACTTGACGACAATATAAAGATCTGACCGTCAGTCTATCTACACAGATTGAGTTACGGTGTGGAACAGCAAACGAACCTCAATAATTATGGAAACGAATTGCCACCAATGTGAACTGGATAAGCCAAAGTGGGTTATATCACACTGATGGGATAGAGGCCGGTTTATCTCAAAACTCTGAAAGCCATCTATACCGGAACTCTTCATAACAAATGCCATTTGGGTTGTAAGAACTTATGGGTATTGAGTAGAAGCAGAAGGAAGGATGCCCTCTATGGTACCTCCATCCGTCTAGCTGGAACGAGGGAATCCCATGAGTACCTCCTGATTTTAGGTTCCATTGTGCCTCAAACTTTCGTAACACGAACACACGTGGTACGATAGATCTACATGAGCTTGTATCTCAACTGGAATCACGCAAGCAGGCAGCTTTAGTAATTGAAATATTCGTGACTCTGCTGAGTCGAGGATTGTCAGAAGCATGCCTGACAGACGTTTTTGCTCGTGCAGTATTTCCAATTAATTAATCCGCAAATCCAGCAGCATCCTGCTGCATCGACCTGTGCAATTGTCCAGAGACTCTGTTTTCACACCATCCAAAGAGAATAATTTGTGTGATACAGAAAGATAGAGGTTTCCAGATGTGTGTGAACCAAAATTACAAAAAAGAAGCTCTACGGATTCACAGAGACTCATGGAATGCCCCTAAAACCTAATGAGCTTACCTACGTACCGAATTTTCACTTAGTACAAAATAAATTATAGGCTGCAGCATATGTCAGCGCGTGTGATTCCGTACTAGATTCGCATTCGCGGAAAACTGCTAACAAAGGTCAAATAAGACAATAAAGAAAGGTGAAAATGTTGGAAAGCTAACCTTTGTCTCATAGATTTATGCTTCCTGCCACCCGAAACCGTAAACTGAACTGGGTGGACCGTGCCATCTGATAAAATCTTGGCGTAGGCTCCCTTATTTGAACCTTCTGTATAGTAGTTTGACGCTGAAAATATCGTTAAAACCCGGTTTTCGTGCATCCATTCAAATCCTTCGGGTCTGCATTCGTGAGAGCGGATGAGGAGTTGAAGATTCATTTTTTGAAGAAAGGCTTTTGACACATCAGGGCCAAAAAAACATCCAAGGCCGCGTAACTCATTGGGTCGGGTGCCCATCTGAGCAACAGGATCACTCCATAACAAGTCCTGATACTGAGAGCAGAAATTTAATCCACTGGTTGTTCATCGGTACATCATGAACTAATAGTTGTGCATCATATAAGCAATTCGTTGTGGTTTATTCAAATGCACACCTCAGAACATTTAAACAAAATATCTCAGGAAAAGATGTAATATGTTCCTCCGTCATGCTTTAAAAATTTTACCACGTTTTCCAGCTCACGGATTCCATTCGCAATAGTTCAGTTAAGCAAACTCAAACACCGCGTTGAACTGGTTCGCTTGCTTCTCAACCGGTTTATTTTACGGTACATTGCAAGACCACATGTGCTGGCGCTCTAAACGTTTTGCAGATGACTCCATGTGCACTAAGGCCGGGACAGGCTTTTTGATGCTTTGCGGACACTTTCGAAGGAAAGTAGCCTTAACTTCGAGTGCTACAAAAAGATTGTGCCGCGAAAATTATGACCGACACATGAGTCCTCCTGGTGAACAGGACCTATTCCGTCAACTGCGTGATCTCGAAATTTCATATTTATTATATGGATGTATGCAGCAGCTGTTTGTTAATGGTTCTAATGCCTTCGAATCCCACTTCTTCCGGGTTAGCCAGTGTTCCTGCTCCAGGCACTGAGCAGTACTTTTAGACTCTGGTCTACGGTGAACGATTCGTATGACAGTGCAAGTTTTTTTGCGACAAAACAAAAACAAGTGCATAAACCTTTGGGGCAAGAAATGAGCAGTAATAAGAAACGCTTCTCGAATCACACCGTCAAATGATTCCTAACTGAATGACCGTATGCGAATTTATCAATTTAATCATTGTGAACAAACAAAAACAAACCAAATTCTGTCTGTTATTTCTGCAATATTCTTTCTAACTTACGTGTTTCATAGTAAATGATATAAGGAAGGACAAAAATGCTGTATTTTGAATACTGCTAGTATAATACACTGTCAAGAAATTTCTTTGGACATCTACCCACCTGTCTCTTTTCCTCGATGTCGAAAGCAGACTTGTTGAATGGTTTCAAAAGTGTGACGAACTGAAAATGGAAACCAAGGTATTTATATCAGCAGCTAATGCGTGAAAACAACTGGGTATGGATTTCTGGTACAGTGAGATCATGAGTTATAATCACGTAGTTACGTTTACCGCACACATGTGGAAAGGATAACGGGTTGAAAACTGTTCGTTAATTCAAAGTTCTTGACGAACGTTAACGTGAAGCATCAAATGTGCTTGATAAGGAAAACTCCCAGCGAAACCGACAGACTCAGCTGGATTCTAGGTGAGTCTCTTGCAAAACCAAATTAGTTTGCAAATGAGTGTATTTCGCTAATCCCACAGATTTCCTTTTAATTTCCTCTTTAACTTTGATTGCCCTAAACGTATCGGACGTTAAATTTGGGCACATTCCTATCAGTTGTAGTCATAATAACTGAACTGGACCCGTGTTATCCCTATAAGACTGCATGCACACGATTCTTAGATTGACCTGGCCATGCAAAACAGCGTAGTTTTGAACAAGTGTGGGTCAAATTTGGGAAGAATAATGATTTATATGGCTTATATTTTCATATTCACCTATGTGAGAAGTGGGTGTTATTTTATCTGAAAATGCTCGACCAGAATTTCATTCCCGTGGGAATAAGTTCTACACAAACCTCCTCAGATTGTTTTACGGCTTGGACCGTTTTTTCTGACGTTGTCACTCGTTGCGTGTCGTCGTATTCGTTTATGTGTTCCAGGGTTGCCCCTATTTTAAACTCCAGTGTAAGCACACCTGGCAGGCTTTTCTGAACCTCACCCTGGAAAGTATCTTCATTTGGTACGCGATTAGGGATTGAATTTTAGTTGAAAGTACTCGATTTAACGCCCTCTCCGAAAATCAGACGTGGACATAGCCCGTTTGTTATAAGTTACTGAATAAATCGAGTGATTGCAGTAAAATGTCACCTCAGAAGAAAGGCAGTACGGTTTTTAGTTTTTCCACAGTTTTTATTCACTGCTAAAAAGCACCCTTTTTACCTTAAAGGAACACACTTATAGGGTTGCTGAAAACAACTTGACAGCCCCTCACAGGCTTAGCCCGCCTTAGAGCACATCTCATGCACGCATCTCCCCAAGTTTCGCCAACCTTATGTTCCATTCGAATTCGAAATGCACGAAATTCGTATGATACATTCATTTGAGCGCACTTTGGTTTTCACGGATGGCTCAACGAAATTCCAACTGGATCTCGTCTGTAATGAAATTCAGCTGCTGTTGGAGGATCTCGTGAACAAGAGGTTTATCTGGGATTTAGTTGAGTGTCCGTGAAAAACAAATTTATGCGCAAATGAATGTACTTCGTAAACTTTGTACAGTTTGGGTTCCTCCCGCTAGATATGTTTTTTTTTTCGTACCAACAGACACACCAGAGTATATTCCTATGTACACCGTAGTCCGAAAAGGCTTTCACCGTTCCCAACATGTTCCTAACATGTAATGAAAAAATTACACCCTTCAATAACCTGGTTCCGGATCACTGCCTCTCGTTTGACGATATCTAAACTTTGGGGTTTTGTGGGATGGGTATTTTCGTTCATAGCCACACCACTCTCGTTTGAATGGGGGGTCAATCGATCGTCACAACCAGGACAGTTACTGGGTCGTCGTTCGATGAGTCGGGCACACCAATCACATCGCTCAAGTGTGAACACGTTCGCCTGTTCAGACGTGATAATTCAGATGCGTCCAACGTGCGTTGGTGGTGCGTAGTGGTTACACGCTTGCCTCGCATGTCCGATGTCCGAGGTTCAAATCTCGACACGGCCATTGGATATGCACTGCTGGTGAGCTCTAATAAGAGCGAAACTCGAGTCCAGTGCTTCCCTTCGGTGTTGACCTGGAATAATTACGCCAGAACAGGAACACGGCCGTTCAAACGAGATTGGTGTGCCTATGAACAAAAATATCTAAAGAGTTTGGGAACGTAATTTGGAAATTGTCATGAACACCTTTCACCGAAATACCTACTAGTCCGAGTTACCAGAGGGATGAGTACCGACAGTGGCCACCGAATGTGATGTACACAAGTACGACGAAATCGTCCCTGCACTTTCAACACACTGCATGATCATGCGAGCAAACAATTTAGGCTGGATTTTTCTAATACTAGAAGTTTTCTTCTCACGACGCTCATGAGGTTCAGGTCACTGGGTGGGTGTATCACATCAGGTCATCCTAGTACGTTAGTGCGGGAAGAATAGAATCATGAGTGACACTCGGCCACATTTTCACAGCCTTTTGTGCTAGTGAACCTAAGCTACCATGGCCTTCGAGGGGAACTCGTGGTAAGGGTCGGGACAAATGTGAAGACTGATTTTGCCAGGACGGATTTAAAGGTACACACACAGCACAGGCCAGCAGCCCCTAAGTTGATGCATTCAGTGACCCTCGCTCGAACATGGTATGGCAAACTAAAATGGCTGAATTTCGACCACTCAGGATGACTTTTGTCAAGAAACAAACGACTGGCATCCAAACACTGGTGATGTGGCTAGCCAAGGACCAGTCAGCATGCTGTCAACTATGCTGTGATTGGTTGGAGTCATGTGTCGTACCCGTGCGCGCGCGCATGTGTGTGTACTTTTTCGCTGACCCGTCCTACGTGTTAGCCCATGTTTCTGTTCGCACGCTGCTGTGTCTGAGCTCACCGTTTGTCCCTGTATCGGTTGTGCTGCCTCACAAACCGTTGGACGAAGCCAACATACATTCAATGTCCACCTTTATCTCTTGGACCTGTTGACTATTTGCCTGCTTCCCGTTCCTTGACCTGTCTTCCTCTGAGAAGTGCCCGTCAACCACTGCTCGTTTTGAGACAGGCGCCAGTCTCCAACGTTCACGTTTCGTGTTGCGTCTGTTCCCCAAAAAACCCGATGGTTTAGCCTTACCACTGACGACTGTACGATATACTACTTACCTCTGTCCGGCTAAACCATTTTTAAAAATGTGTTTTGATATCTGTGAATTACACATAACGTGCATAGTTCAAATTCGGGATTGGAGATGGGACAGCTGACATAACAGATTGTTTGAGGTAGTCATAGTGTGTATGCATCATTCACAAAACTGTGATGACATTCTCGGTGAATTTCAGCAATTCAACAAAATAAGTAAAATTCAATTTGTTTTTAAATAATCAAATGGTACAATTTCAGATAACTATTAGTAAAAGAGAACAGCAAAGAATGGTTACGAATCAATCAAATCGCTCACACTTCTGGCACACGAAATGGACGCAACCTCAACCTACATAAATTCGCTCATGCTTCTCAGGTAAAACATGAGGACAAATAGTCGAAGACAAAACTAACAAAAGTCGAGATGAACTAATCCCGCAAGTTTTGCCTAACAATATCATCCCGGACGCTCTATAATGCTAAGCCAGTCAGTCATTATTTTAGCCTATGTTTGTCTACGGCCTCGCTAGCTCTGAAAGCTCAACATTGTCACTCTTGTGTACAAGCAGTGATACTGTACGTAGAAGAAGTAACTCCGCATTAATATCATCTATTTGTGGGGAATCTGAAGTCTGCTCATATTACTCAGAATCGTAAAGGTGACAACACCTGTTTTCCCCTATTTGTTTCGGCTGTCAAGTAGACTGCAGTCAGGGCCAATATCAACCTATGAGCGTTTCGTGTGATTCGTCGCTCGCATACCCCCAATGGGTGTGGGGTAGCTCAATCAGATGGAGGATGTTGGCATCAAATTAAAAACGAATTTTGGACAAAAATTTGACAGTCTTAATTTTGCATTAAGGTTTATTTTGCGTCGGTGCTCTGTTTTCAGAGGACCTACTGATATTATGATCCAACCCGGTTGGTAATTTCACACCGACTTAGAGCAATTTCGTGGCTACCCCTCAGCAGCATAACTCCTGGTATCAATCAAGTTCTCGATATATCGCGTCGCTGTATACTGATTTCCAGTAGGTAAAGGTTAAGCTCGAACCATATGAATTTGACTAATGATGGGGGCGTCACTCATACACCCTTTTTAAGGCGGAAGCGATTTCAGTCTATTCCGCACAAAATGAATGCAACCAAAGTCAGACAGAAGTCCGGCATCGGTAACACTTTGGAACACTAGTTCTCACACTCGTGTCATAACTGTAAAAGCGATATGTTAGAGGAAGTCGACAGATGTTAAGGCCAAATTCGCTACATTTCCAGTCTTAATTCGTAGTTTTGGAATATACACGACCTTTTGGTCATTCTATTTTGTTCACCTACTTCGACTGGACGGAAGATCAGGAAACAGAACAAGGGCATAGCGCGTGTATATGTGTACGCAAGCTTATCAGCACGGTTTGATTCACAGTGTCTGCTTAATATAAGAGCAGGACTAACTAGGACTATCTTCATGGAAAATCGTTCATTCAGCTGCGAGAGATCTATAGAGCGAATTTTAGTCAAAGCGCAATTATTTGCCCGTCATTGTCTTCCCCGATTTGAATGCTATTCATTAACTGCTCTTCCAGCGGTGAAACCCAGAGGCTACTCTATCGAGTTTGATGATTACACATTAAGGGAGAATTCGGACTATTACGTAATTCGGATGTATTCGTTTACCTTACGCTCACGCATAATGAGACCTAATTTCCTCACCCGTTTTTCTGACGGACAGCTTGTGTTCACACACAAGAGGGACCACCGAAAAAGAATTTCAATTAAACGTCATAAGTTACTACTCCATTCAACAAATGCAAACCCTGAAAAAAACTGCTATTGTTATTTTAAGCTTCTTACTACCAGCCATAAAAGATTTTAACAACACGCACCGGTTACAGAAATATCGGTATCATTCGGTTAGAATAGCAACAACTCACGAATTGAAAATTTCCTAGACTAAAAGTTGCTCTGTCTGTCGCACCTCTCCACTAGGTGTCTATCATCAGAAATATATTTCAAATAGATTAGGATTTCCCCTGTCTACAGCAACAGACGCAAGATAAGTGAAGAACGATCAAATAATTGGAATGTATGTGAAGAGTTTCATGAAATAAAGCGCATCTGAAGTTACAGGCTCTACTGGCCACGTGAACTTTTCCATCCCAATTTTCTGTAAAAACTAGCATCCGCGTGGAACTTCGTTGGCCTCGCTTGCATATTGGTAATTGCGTGACGACGATGCATTTGGATAACACAATCAATTAGCCAAATGATGGATATTTCTCGTCTGCTCTTTAATCTAGCGACATTAGAATTGGTTTGCGACAAATACACTCATTTGCTAATCAATTTGGTTTTTAAGGGAGACTCAAGCGAATCACCCGTTTATGATAGAAGATAGCTGTAGGTAATATTCCAAACTGCCTGAATATCCCAATGGTTTACACTGAGGAAAATCAACCTTATCAGAATCTCGTTGTCAGGGCAGTACATATCTAGTTGTTAAAATAGGGGTAAATAGTGAAATAAGTCCCCAAGGTCGGTTATTGAACTATAAAACTTGGAGATACGAATGATTGGTTGTCGGCAGAATCCAGTGGATGATGTCATAGTCTAGAAGGTCCTTCGGCAACCTCGTTGGTTGCTCCGTGTCTCATGACCAAGGCAGACTCAACAATCGTTCAGATGGCTTTTGACAACACAGTACCATGTTTCGCAAACGTATTGCGAGAGCTTCGTCTGTGGCCGAGCCACGCCGTAGGATCAGCACCGGCAGTCTATTGAATATCTGGTAAATGAAGTGAAAAGACTTGTTTGGATAGACCACGTGACCAAGTAGCTCAACGGCACCTATGACTCAGCATCCAGCCAGATGCTACGTGAGGTGCACCGAAAACCAGTCACTCGTGTCTCCACGTGTTCAAATTGACAAGGAGGTCCCGAAAATAATAATGTTCGTCATTTTATTAACGTTCTAACCTGTTTTGAACATCATGTCAGTAGTGAGTGATCATTCCCGCTTCAGTAGACCACAATAGACCCCCAGTACCAAAACAGCTTAGGTTAAGTTGTATGAACTAAGGAGCTTGCAGAGTGTTGGTACTACAATCAGAACAAGGGCATAAATTAAGCAACACTTACAGCTGTACGATCCAAAGATTTCAAAACCGTCAAATCCATCTCGCTCGAAATGCCTCCATGAGTCACCAACATTTTGTCGTTGATAATCGTTGCAAGTGGCAGATAACGGAAGAGATCGGTAAAACATTTCACAATCGGACCAGCTTGAGACTAAAAGAACAGATCAGGAGGCTAGTGTAAATAAACCGATCAACTCATCTATTGGCACGGAGCAGATGTGCAAATTGCACAGCAATGAAAACGTATTCGCAACTTGTAACCTTTATCACCCCTCAAATAAAGTGCATTAGAGAAAATCGGTGGGCAAATGAATGAAAGTTCGCGAATAGCGTACAATTTTGGTTCCGTTCCGGGCTTTAGTTCACGGAAACTTGTGTAGGGGTCCATATGTGGCCCAAATAGTCTTTGAGTCTCGAAACGTTTTCGCAAACCTAAAGAGTAATGTGCTCCAGCAATCACTTGAATGCTGCATCAGCTGATGTGTACTCAGGTGTTTTCTATGTCACCCATTAATCCTGAAATTATTTTAACCCTCCATTCAGACGAACGTTTTTCGCTCAGGCCTCCTGAGTAGCAGCGTTTCAAGAAACACTGATTACATTTAGCAATAAGTAGCGAATGCCGCAAGGCCTTGTTTGGCTATCGGAAGATCGGGTGTGCGAACACTTCAAATTGGTAATGCAGTACAATACACTATTATGATTTGGACATTCCCCTCCTGCGACCTCTTGATATAACCTAGAAGAGGTCTGGTAAGGAGTGAGTTCCAGGCCAAACATTTCACATAATGCGACCTAGGAGCCGATGGCACTGAGTGAAAATTATGCTCATCGCTTCGTGTTTATTGGAGGCGAAATCCTACGGCAAAGCCACGATAATTCTGATTCACCCCTGGCATACGCGTCTGAACGTCACACATGATTCTTCATCCATCTGTTAACTGGAGTAACAACCAATGGATTAGCGGCAATATGACTAATTATGAACTGGCACAATAAAGAGACTCATACTCCCAGCATTAGAAAAAACCAGGATTTTAATATGTCTTCAAGGGGAACCTTATTGAATAAAGGTAACTCAATTAAAGCAGGTCTACCATACGTTCGGCAGGCTGGCCTTAGCCTTTATGATTTCACAGTGTATTCCAGATTTATCCAAGCAAGGGTTGTGATTTCTTAGCGTGAATATTTTTCAGGGAAGACAAAAGAGCTTCCGCTGCGTCCCATTACTGAGTGAAGGAAGCAACAGCAACTGTACACAATGTTCTCACACCTAGGTTATACGACTTCGGCGTAAGGATCCCTGAGCCCTTAGCTAAGGTCAGTGGTTCAAATAGTGTGATCAGTCATTGTACTTCAATGGCTGCCTTTGGCATGATGGAAACGACCCTTGCAGTATGATACGCTTCACCCAGCTCAAGTAAACCATTCAGTAACAGTATTTCCAAGGAACCGGGAATCTAAGAGTGATATTTCGAATTCGTGACACAATGTGTAGAACCTCTCTGTCGACATGCAGTAATTATATCACGCGAAAGTCTCAAACCGGCCAGTCAACTCTTTGAATGGGCAACACAGTCAAAAAGACAGTCCATAGTAAACTGAGAGTATTTAACCCACACGGAACAAAGTTAAACCCAGTCTTGAAGGAACAAAGTATGTCACCGTTTGCTGAATCCGGAATATTATTTGTCACATATAGGCACCATCTCAATACTCACAACAGTAGCTCAGCGCCATTCGGAATCGTTCAAATGTAGCACTCTTTCGGTGCCAAAATGCCACGCCACCCGAAGTTGCACGAGGCAGTAGCTCAGCGCCATTCGGAATCGTTCAAATGTAGCACTCTTTCGGTGCCAAAATGCCACGCCACCCGAAGGTTGCACGAGGGCTGGGATATTGCCAGGTTGCCCAAGACTAGACAGAGAAAGTCGAGAGGCAGAGGTCGGATTCGAACTACAGTCCTTCCGTTCAGTAAATCGGCGCTCTGATCACTTGGGCCATCTCGCCATTCAGAATGGATCTCAATGGATCGCGCTTGAAAGCTGCGGTTATCATAGACTTTCTTCATGTCTTTCGCAGTAAGTGAACAACGGTAACTGCTACATAACTGGGAGTGGTTTATAATGCTTTTAAAGCCGGAGCTAGCGAAAATGGTGACGTAGATGTGATCATAATGTTGAACATAGTGAAAATGTTGTTGATGACACTAATGATCATATCCGTTAGTACACACGTGTCAACCGAGAGTGTTCCATTTCTTTTGAAGTGATTTTCCTAACATAATTCACATTCAAAACATTGTTTTAAAAAGTTCAGCCTTCATTTACCGTTCTTTAAATTTTCGCATCACATATTTAAACACAACGAGAGTTTGAGAATAACATAACTGAAGATGCCATTGTAGGTGGAAGCAGCACTGTGAAAGTTAGGCGGTCAAGTTAGAAGATCAAATGGTTGCAATTCCTAATCTCTGGTAGGGCATCGTGGTACGAATCGTAGCCGCCAGTTTTGCAGTGGTTAGTGAATCAAATCAACATATAGCTTAAGGTTAGCTACAGCTCGGACACGTATCGTAATATCCCCCCATATTTCTAGTTGTTCCATACAACAACACCGAGTTTGGAGCGGAATATGTCAGTGTTGACCAGTGGATTCGGTTGATAGCCAGGTATCCAGATAAGCACGCACATATGCCGGCCTGATATGGCACACCATAATGACAATTCTTCTGTCGTGTTAGATGACTTATTCAATCGAGTAAATAAATAGTGCTTTTCCCGCCTTATCCGCATCGAGTCTTAGTTTTCGTAGAGCTACTATATGTTGCGCGGCTAGTGATAACATCAGTACTTCACACCCAGTTGGACGATGTTGATGTGCAACGCCTATGTGAAATTTCACCAAGGGAGTGTTTTCCCAGCAAATATAACACTTAAGCCTTTTTGAATAGAAGCGGAAGTACCAATGTCTCTATTTGGTCAGTAACTAAAAATACCTTTCTATGTGTTATATGCTAAGTTTAAAACTGAATGTGACAGAAACTGAATGAAATCCCCGAATTAGTCAGGAGATCAGAGTTAGTTTTCGTGACCAGTTTGGTCAGTTATACTCCCTCTGCCCACAGGGAAGATAAGGTATGTATAAGAAATGTTCATAGGAATTAGATATGGAGAGAAGTAGGCGCGAATTTCAACAAGGAGACAACGATGCTGGTAAATACGGGTTAGTTTTGATTTCAAATCGTTCGTGACAATAGCGAACTGAAAAGGTTCTCCTCAGCCGTCGGGCTGTTCACTTTAAAAAATAAACCACAAAATAAATCGGTTGAAACCCTTGCCACGATAGAAAGGACAATGAGGAGACAACGTTTGATAAACGGACAGTGTTTTGTCTTACAAGCGGTGAATGATATTGTTGAAAAAGTTGCGTCCTCTGCATGGAGACGAATCAGGTGTAAGAGAACAGGGTTTCACTGAAGAAAATCTATGTTGCATTTTGGAGCTTTGAGGGACGCAGGGATCGTTACAGTTGTGTGGGCCAGGCATCCTACTGCGGCACATCTTCTGACAATCCAACAAAATTAATGCAACCCGTCAGGCAGCACCTTGGCCACCACAGCATAAAGGATGATTCTCAATCTACTGAGCAGACAAAGGACAGAGATACCACTGATAAGTATATGGGCGATTTTTCGCAATTCCATTCAAGATATCAGAAGACTTCCGCACGAGTCTTCTTTAGTAGAGCATTTCGGATTAGTTTCAAAAATATCGAAATTGAGGTCGAATGTACACGGTTAAGTTTGGGCGGAATTTGGTGTTCTGAAGGGGACAAAAATAATATTTTCACTCCATGTAGGCCACCTTCTCGGAGACAAAACATTTCACAGACAAGTGTGAAGTTCATTTGTCAATAACATCTGGAGGCAGTGCCTTGAATTCCATTAGTTGAGGGTGAATGACCTCCCTGGTAGGATGGCAAACGTAAGAGCAAATGACTCACTTTGTATTTCTTCTGGATTTCCTTAACGAAACCGTATCTGGCAATGAAACCATCAAAATATCAAGAAGTTCAAGGTAACATCTTTTATGAGAAAATAGTTCCAGAAAGCATCTATTGCAAATTCATGCTTTACTTGATATACTACTGAGAAATTCGCAACAGTCGCGATTGCTCAAAGTAAGTGTCTAAATATACGATCACTAACAACATACCAGAACTGTTCTATCCGAATTTAGACCTGTTCTCGGTCAAAAAAGTAGGCGCGAATTTCAACAAGGAGACAACGATGCTGGTAAATAGAGGTTAGTTTTGATTTCAAATGGTTCGTGACAATAGCAAACTGAAAAGATTCTCCTCAGCCATCGGGCTGTTCACTTTAAAATTAAGAAGTAAAATAAACCACAAAATAAATCGGTTGAAACTCTTGCCACGATTGAAAGGACAATGAGAAGACAACGTTTGATAAACGGAAGGTTTACTGAAGGTTTACTCCTCAGAGGCATCCATGTTTTGTTTCTTTTTACATCAATCCCACCTCATATAACGGATGCCTTTCCGTATTCTTGATTTATGGCACTACTCACCTAATCAATTTTATTCGGACTATTCCAGCCACATTTAAAAAAGTACTGCCAACTGTACGACACCGTTTGAACGGAAGCTATCCTTATATTCAAGCTGATGCCGTCAAACTCGGAAGGCAGAGAAAGCGAACGTAACAAACTAGCCACATGACTCACCAGGTTTGATAAAACCATGGAATAACTAAAAACGTAAAAACATGCATCATTCCTCTGCTCCATAGGATCAATGATGTTAGAGATAAATTATGTGATCGGAGACCAGAAGACGCCCAGGCATTATCATTTTGATCTCCTGACCAATGAAAACATAACACGGAACACAATACATAGTGAACTTCTATGAGCTCCATATGGCACAATATAGGAAAACAGGCATCTATTAGCTCGGTTTCCACGTTTAACAACTCGATATGCAGTTATATCACCACATCCACTTCAAGCCTACAATTCTGAACAGAATTTACGAACTTACGAACTTTTCACACCTAAGGTCTATCTATGCTTTGCACCTACATTAAAGTATATCGTCGTCGGAATATCACGCCTTCATTTGTTCAGATATATCCTAACACAAACCGACCGGGACAAAATAACACCGGTAGTTGACGGAACAAGCGCAAAAAGTATCATTCCTCCTCACCACCGGGGTGGCGATATAAAGGGTAAAAAAAAGAGAATGAATTCAAGTGCAGTGATTATGCTAAATTTCTAGTTTTTTTTTACAGAAAAAGTCTGTGTCAAATGATTTTCTCTCGCAACCGTTCGGAGCAACAAAAAAAAAGGTCCTGTAATGTCAGGTCGATCCTAGTGGCGCTAATTTTCAGTCAAGTGTGTATTATTGAGGAAACAGTACTTTCGCACTCACTGGCAATTCACATAATAATCTTCATGGTTCCCGCGATTCAGGTACACTGCAGTCGGTCGAAGCAGCATTAAAGTCAGGATAATCACCATCGTTTCAACGGAACATCGACCTCGATCCACGAAATCTCCGTTAAAAATGTACGGGTTGGTCACATCAGGTAGGCCATTCTAGTGAAATACAGGAATAGTAGCACCAGGCCAGTAAGTAGAAAATAACGTATGGGCCTGAGAATCGACAGATTAACAAGTTAAATCCCTGCGTTCAGTCAAGATGTTCAACCAAGTTATTAGCGAACCTCAGAACACTATCCCATCCTACCAGATATAGCCACCTGTTATGTAGTTCCTACACCGACCATGTGAAAGAGATATCAAAGGTCCACTTGACTGATTATTCCACGTACACACAATAGGAGCCTAAACAACAGGGGGATAAGTAAGCAGTGTTCCTGGGTGAGCTCCCAGCATGTTTGTCAAAACGTCCAGCTGACTATCATAAAGCATTGAGCGAACTGAATTTATCTCACCTTCACTTGTGGTGCTCACTCATAACTTAGGCTATATGATTCTACAAGGCTGTTAAGAGGCGGTGAGGATAAAAGTTTACCGTATTAAAGTAGGACAACATTTACTTATTACTTCAGAAAATTGCTTCCACAAAGCAAGGATTCCATACTGGACAGAACCAGTTTGCCCCATGTAAATGATTCAAACTAAGAAACCCGAGATGGCAAATAAATTTGGAACACCAGATTCCAACTAGTAGCGTGCAAAAGTAAACAGCTCTCTCGTGTTTTGACTTGTCTCAAGATTTCTCAGGTAACCTGTCGTCACCTCTCACTCAGGCATCATAAGTATTGCTCAATCGGTTACGAAATCCGTAATTGTGCGGAGTTCATATTTGGCAGAAGAAAACTAGCCAATAGAAGATTTGGCTGCCCACCACTGTTGATTCGTGTGTAAAAACGGCTGTACAGATCGAGATGGAAATAAGTATACAATATTCCAGCCGCAGCTTTGTTTCAACAGAACTTCTTGAGCCATCTGAGTAGTCGTCGAGGCAGTGGAATTGCTTCCGATAAAACCTATCCGATGAGCTCATTTGCAGTTACCTTAAAAGGTCGAGAGAATAACAAGAAACATCCTAGCGGTCAAAACTCAAACATGTGTTCTTTGAGTACGTCTCTGAGTCTTTCTCGAACTGATTAGCAAATGCTAACCAAGTGCTTTCAGGTGCCTTTTGTGATGGATGAAGAAACCCGACTGTAAGCACCTCAGTGCACTTGGGTGTTTCTGATGATGACTTTTAAAATATTGAAGCTCACCAGAATGGATAGGTTTGATTTGGTACTTCTCACTGATCAGGTATTTTACTACCGCACTGGTCGGAATCCAGGGCAATAAACGCCCAGCTACTCTCTAGAATGGACACGGAGTTCTGCGTAAAAACCTCAACTAAAGGAATAGATAACCCTAAACAATCTTTCAGAGGTCACTCATTTTCATCAACTATCACACTGTTAATAAAAAGACACAGAAAAGTTTTGACTCTAAATTAGCCAGCTGATGACCCACTTGTGAGAAATCCGAACGTTTTTAGAATACCATTTGGTTCAGGATTTTTCAAATATCCATTGAAATTTGTAAACATGTCTGATGGAAGTGTTCTGGAAACATTACTTCATCTGAATTACTCTAACTTAATAGAAGACCAAATGTCAGGCAAAACCTGGTTAGTCATTAAGGCGGTCGTTGGAAAAGACATTGGATTTTCACTTTGGAAGACGAGTCACTAATGGATCTGTGTGTGCCACTGCTAAATCCTTGTAGATCGTTTGTCCTTCGTCGGATACAGTGGCTCTACAGTGGCCGGTACGCGAAGAGAGACAGTATCTGGTCCTCAAGTAATCAAGCATCAATAAACATCGCTTAATTTATACGAGTAAAATTCGCCTCCCAATAAATGTTTCCACCTACCAACTTTTTTTCTCCCAAGCACAAAAAAACCATTGCTGAGGAAAAATTCACTGGACCTCCTAATCTACAGGCAAACGGGAATATTCAGTGGTACAGCATTCCGTACACCTACAAACCAAGTCGAAATGAAGTACATAACTGGAATTCAGAAGCGCAAATATATTTATACGTCGTAAGGGTGTCATCTCACCTTGTGCAAAATTGTCTGTAAGTCAGCTAACTGGCCATGCAAGTCTCCAACAACGGTGATCTGCTTTGAAATTGACGTAGAGGCTCTCTGTATATTGGGTCTGGAGGCTAGAACTTGTTTCGCTTCGCTCAGTAGCTTGTACAGATATCGTGGATGTAGTCGCTTTTTATAGATGTGGAAATCAGAAAAATCTTGAATTGGGCAGTCCCAAAGGCAATCAAATACTCATTCCACAGTTACTGTCTGGTTATCACATCCCTCAGAGAACGAAACTTAAAATGAATCAACAATGTGACTTTTGCGATACAAAAATTCTTCAGCCAAATGTAGCAATACATCAACACAAAACCCCAAGTGGGTGGCTGCTCTTGACTTCACGTCTAAGATGGCAGTTGAGTAGGGACTTTGTTGTAAATCCTTTATGAGTGAGGTTTGTAGGAGAAGAAAATCTTACCGCGAATTGGTGCGTAAAGTGAAATTTTCTATTAAAAAAATCACTGGCGCATGGACGCATGATGTCTCTCATAAGTTATAATGGCAAGCTGCTTAGACAACCCATTTTTAGCTCTTCGTAGGGTCTGGGTACCCTTCTGCACAACGATTTCTGTCGTTCAGTATATCTTAATGCAGTGAATGGTGAGATCTGGAAACACGGCTAGACATAATTTCCTGTTCCCTTACTTAAACTTGTTGTCCCAGTTCAGCCAGTTGGACATTTAATAGCCGCACCTGCTAATGGCAAAACCATAGCTTTTGCCATCAAATCTACCTGAACTTTACTGACTTAAACTGTTCTAACATAAATCCATTACATTCCAGTCCGGATGATTCAAGTAGCCTGTGCTTTAATAACTACATGAGGACCATTTTGATACATCACTTCTCTGCATACATCATACCGGAGGGCTAGCATGACGCCAAAAGGTATTTTCAAATTGCCTTGGTAGTATGAAACAGAAGAAAACCTGTAATGGGATGTCAGGAGGTCTGATTACTGTTTACATATTGCATGAAAAACAACATGAAGCTACTTTCAAACTGGGTACCTAAAAAGTGAGGTCTCCAGGCGGTGTGGAAAATTGTGTGGTTCCAAACTAGGTTGCATTAAACGGGATATTCCACCTACAGGAAGAAATGCTTCCAAGAAGAACGTCGTTCCCCTACCTCTGTGGAAACTTACTTAGTCTGCTTAATTATTCAAGACAAATATGTTTGGCTGTTTAGAGAGCTGGAAGATGGCTGTGTTTGGTCGACAGTCAATACCGTCCACAACAAAACTTTGAATTTTGATATAATTTCCCTCAACCAGCAACCAACTGCGGTTCAGTGGAAAACGTGAGTGGTTTTTCGAGTTTGTAGTTGAGTTTATGGCTTTTGGTTAGATCCCGCACCTGCGGGTTAGTAATTAAGAGGTGTTAAACAAAGGCTCATTATTGATAAAGCGAGTTACTAAATACCGATGATCAGCTGCTGTAGAGAGGTCAGCAGATAGTGAAACCTTAGTGCGCCCTATTAGAAATACCAAGCTGTGCGAACCGGTCATAGGACGCGTGGAACCAGCGAATCTGCTTAAAACGGTTAATCAAGCCGACAAAACATCTGATCTTTTTATGCTCCACCTATGAGTTATTTTAGAATAAGATACCTGACGTTACAGGGAATTGTGAGATTCGAACACGCCTGTTCCGCATGAAGAAAGTGTTTGAACGTTGCGTCAAGATTCTCCTCTCTACTTAAGGTACACCGAGATACCTTTATGGTCTGAATAACCCGAGAAAGATTTATCAGTCCCAAGTTGATTCGTGTGGGTTGTCACAGGCAAATACGTTAGTTCGACCAAACCCTAAAAGTTACTTTTCACTCTACAGTGCATAATAGTAGGGAAATGTTTAGGGTAACTAAATAATACATCTCTGTTTGTTTATGCTACCCTTAATTTGCAAAACCTTGTTATGAAATTTGGCAGACGATGTCAAATTGTGCGCCTTCAAACGGGATGTGCTTTTCAAATGCGTGTGCTTCCGTTAGGTTTCGGCGAATGCACACATCAGCAGTGCAAATTTGATCACCGACATGCCTGATCCAAACTGAAAGCTCCACTCACTACATCTCTAATATTTATTTTGGTTAAGTACCAGTCGGAAAATTTGAAGATAGTTTCGCATCACTGATAAAGGGGTTCTCTGAAAAGCTCATCCGAAAGCAACTAGGAGAACTAATTTCGTACGAAGTTGTCGTAAAAAATAAATTACCTGGTCCAAACTTAGTGTGTTGATAGGCAGATGTGATTTTGTAACTGAGCCGGGCAGTGAGATTTATCTACAAGTTTTCGGGAAATCAGATACGGGGCTTTCGTAGTTTCGTACAATATCAACTCCCCATCTGGTGGATTGTGTATTCCGATACCTAAAAGAAACATTCAGCATGACTCTGAGCTCTCCAGTCGGTTTGGTTTATCGATTTGAATTATTTAAAGTTGAACCCTACCCCGCTGAATAAACGCCATGTTACAAAGTACACAATAATAGTGAGTAATGTGCGAATCCACAGAACCAGCAAACAAGCAAGCGTTATTGTGTGAAACATATATATGTATGTACTGCTAAGATATCTTCGTTAATTCCTAGACGTACCGAAATACCCCTGGTACTTTTACTACAACATGAATGCTCTAGAAACGAATCAACTTATCAAGAACCGCTTTAAGCGATCTTTACAAAAAACAGTTTCACTTCACAGAGGTGCTATTGCTCTCAGAGCCGCTCTGGAAGAAAACCAAGTTTCGCTCGGCAAAACTAAGAATCCCTGTGTCACTGAAATGCAATAGATGACGCCTGATATTGTGAATTAATTGCTGGTCTTTTGATGCCTTCCATCATTTCTTTTATTGTTGATCTAAATGTGCTAGTTTAAAATCGCTTAGCTAGCTCACGAGGACGGATTTCATGTTTTTGAGTTTTTGATACAAACCGAAACAAACCATAAGCTGATAGTTCGAACTTTGGCGATGCTTGCTCCACGAGCATACAAACATTTTATATACTTCAAACGGCTCAACCTTCAAAAATCGCTGGTGGGAAGGATCATGCTGGATAGGATATCTTACCTTTTTATGGCTTAATGAAATCATTAGGCTCATTAGTTGTTGAGTATCCAGAGGAAATACCAGTACCGGTCCTTCGTAATTTTGCGGAATAGGGGGAATCCAATCGTCACACCAGATTTTATCCTTTCCGCAACCTGCATTGTATGTATGGTTGATGTAAAGGCCACCAATTCAAAAAATGATAAACCTGCGCTTTCGTGTTTTTTTTTTAAATTCTACATGATAGAGTGTATGACAAGTTAGCTTCTCCTAATTCTGCATGAATAAGAAGTGACTTCGAAGGCATGAACTCACTACTATTCAACAAATGCCTCTGGATGACGATTCCTAACGTGGGTAGATATAAACATCAACATTTTTTACAGACTAAATAAAGATGCGATTTATTAAGATAAAACATATTGGACAAATCCAAGGTGCCTAATAGGAGGCCAATTTGTATGTTTCAAATGCTTACTCCTGGTAATGTAGGCTTGTGTGCAGAGAATCCAGCCTCCCAACTGATATTGCTGTCATACAGTCGGTTGGACACCAAATTTAGTTTTGACAAGAGACTCACCTGGAGCCCAGTTGCTATGTTGTTCAACTGAATGTAGTTCATCAAGCCGACTCATATTTCACTTAACGTGACATTCGAGATATTGCGATACATGCATAGACGTAAAGAACTACTCATAGGGGTGCTGAAAACATCATAAACGGGAGATTCAGCTGGGTTCAAGGTAAGTTTACCGCCAACCCCAAATTGATATGCAAATGGGTGTAGTTCGCTGATTCAGTGAAATTTGGGTTCAACGAAAACTTAAGGTTGACTGTAATTCGAGTAGTGCGATTCCCTGATGAGCCACAAGAAGGACCGAACCGGTCGTAGGCTCCCGAAGAGTTTTCAGCAACTTATGGGAAGTGCGTGTAGTAAATTTATATGGTGTTGATGTTATTATTCTTGACAGAAAGAATAAAGCACCACAGAGTTAGCGAATACAAACTCTTCGCGGAGGTCTGTGTGCTTAAAAAAGATCAACAATGGGTCGTTTAAGCTCTATGAAGAGCTGGTGTAAACGAGAGTCACATGTGAAAGATCATTTTCGAGGTACTGCGTGATCACGCGGAAGTGATGTCTGGAGAGCATTTTGGACAAGGGAGAGCATGGGCTACAAAAAGTGGCGGGTAATAACAGATGCAGGTTTGTAGTGATGAGGACTTTTGTCACTAGCAGCCACCGGTATGCTCTAAACTGAATCCTTTGATCTTAACCATCAAAGAATTTGCCTGCAAGCAATTACAGATCGGTTTCCAAGCTGAGATGAATTATCATATTTTCGTGCCGACGGCTCATATCTTCACAGTTATCCTCGGTCCAAGCACTTGGAATCAATCAGAAGGCAATTTTACTGCACGGGTCGGTGAAACAGTGAAATAAATAGACAAAACTCGTGTGACCAAGTAATATGGTTTTTTGTTCCAACTATTCAGTGTAACTCTTGCACTCGACTAACGGTTAGTGTGAAGCATACTTGGATAAAGGAAATTTCCAGATAGTGTGAGCATTAAAGATAGTGGACTGGATTCCCTAGTGACAGTTTCCAACTACCCAGGTTGAAGGTCTTTTATTTACTTACTGGAAATTTTGCCTTCCGAATCCTGCGCACCGATTGTGTTCACCAAGCTTGTGCTGTCGGCTTGTGATATCAGATCGGTGAACAGAGTATAAAGCTGATAATGAAATTAAAAAATTAAATTTTCACTTCACACTGAACTGTTACATTACACATTCACTCAGTGAAACATGAAAAATGGAGGGCGGGTTAAACTGGAAGCCTCGTAGAATAACACAACAGAAATTCAGAACATGTGCTCAACAAACCGATATTTTACCCGGAACACATGAAAGGATCCTGTGATATTTCGTAGTTTATAGTGCGGCCTCACACAAACGTGAGCTGTTAAAGGCTAGACTGTTCATAACAGAGTAGCACACCGAGTTCGCAAACAAGCATCGCTTTCCAAAAGAAACTTTGAACGTTTGCGTTTTCATTGAAGTAGGCTACTCCATTTGTTCTAGACAGCAAGAAAGCTTAGGGAA